CAGAGTGCAGTACAGAATGGGAGGGGCGGTCCGAAGACTTCCGGGGGAGAACCCCCGGACCCCCCTTTCTTTCAGCTTCCCAGCAACACTCGACCATAAGTCCCAGAATGCGGGTTACCAGGAAGCTGAAAAAAAGGGGGGTCCGGGGGTTCTCCCCCGGGAAGTCCTCATTTGGGACTGGGAATGATGTTTACGGGGGGGGGTTGGCATACCGACAAAGCCGGGGAAGAAGAACTCGTTCAGCTCTTCGCGAGCGCGCACCAGTTGCACACGCACGCAGCTGCGACTGCCTGCGCCGGCGAGCACCCACCCGTGCCGCTTGAGCAGGGTCTGCAGGTCGGACTCGGAGGCGACGCTCCAGTCGAAGCCCTTGATCTTGCCGTCGGCGGCGGACACCCAGAGGGCGCCGCGGGTGATGGCGAGCTCATGTCTGCCGTCCGGGGAGGAGGTGCGGGGGAGTTGGATGAAGGTCCCCACGTAGAGGGTGTACATTGGGGATACCATTTTCGACAGCGAGGGCGATTCAAGGAACCAGGCAGTGGTGCTCGGGAGTGAAGCAGAGAACCCTCTTAATAACGCGCAGATACCGGAGGAGACGATTGCTATCGGGATATGTTTTCTGTTCTGATATCAGCCGAGTTCGCAACCACCAGAATAACAGATATGCAAACCAAGCACCCGGACAGGTGTTCAACTCACCGCACCGTCCCAACACAAACCCACGTTCTGCACTCTGCAAGGGCGCAACCCGAACTAATCCCTCAGCAGCCAGGCAACCCACCACTTGGAACAAAGCCAGTCCAACGGAACGCCAAACCGAGCAAATCGCACAAAAGCGAAGCAGAGGAGTCCAGACGGGGATGGACGGTGGATCTTAAAGGGCGATTCGATGTTCATCGGGAGTCGCTAATCTCCGCCAATGGAGCCCGCCTGCCCCGGCCTCGGAATCCGGCCGGCTCCGGTACGGTAGGTTACCTTTTCGGGTTTAGTCGGGTTGCTGCTTGGAGCTGAGCTGATAAGATAAGGCGTCGTGCGGGGTGCCTGAGGCTGGCTGGCAGCTGACCAGGATTAACTTCGCTTAGTCTGTCTGGTCAGTCCGGGGAAGGACTACGATAAGGCGTGCAATCATATTCATTTCGTGTAAAGTTAGTAACTAACTACTAAGATAAACTACATATCGCAAGGTAAGGTGTGGTCAGTGCCGGATCCTGTCTAGGTACATAGTATTAACTTTCCCGACTACACCGCAGTGACCACACACACTCCACCCGATAATCAACTCAAAGCGTATACCTAAAATCCTCCGCCCCTTCGATAACCCTCTGTCCGCGCTCTGCCTCGGCATTCGACTTCCGGAACCACCAACTCAGCGCCCCGACAATCACCAGGATCAAAATATTGCACCTACCCAAAGGGGAAAAAAAAATCAGTCAAAGCCATCGACAAAGCAGAAGGGAAAACTCACGCGATCGTAGTCCACATGCCCGGCCGATACCCCGGGGCGTCCTCCGACCGAAACACCAGACTGCTCACGATGCCGCCGATGCCCCCGAAGCCCACCAGGGTGGCGCTGGACAGCGCGCGCGTCCACTGGCCGCGGACGTTGTTGGCCTGGTAGGCCATGACGGCGGGGATGTTGGAGTTGGCGCCGGCGACGCTGAAGAAGACGCCGACGTAGCGGGCGGCGTTGCCGTGCGCGAAGCCCATGATCGGGAGGCCGATGATGCAGAGCAGGGCGTTGAAGACCACGATGGCGCCGCGCACGCGGTACTTGTCGCCGACCCAGGCGCCGCCGAACATGATGATGCCGGCGAAGATGTAGGGGGGCGCGGCGAGGCACTGCGCCGCGCCGATGCTGAAGCCCATGCCTTGCTGCAGGATGATGGGGAGGAAGTAGGCGATGGCGTAGGTGACGGTTGTGGTGCAGCTGGAGGCTGTTAGCTTGGTCTCAAACTGAAGCAAATGCCGTCGGAGGGGGGGGGCGTACAAGAAAATCATCGCGAACCCCCAGATTTTGAGATCCAGAGCGGGAGACAAGAACCGCTTCAGCGAGAAGGGCTCTTCGTTGCCATCCGACCGATCGCGGTTGATGCGCCGGACGATGAAGGAGCTTTCTTTCTCGGTCAGGAAGCGCCAGGACTTGTGGGCTCGGTCGGGGAAGTCGACCAGGAAGATCAGAGTGAGGACCCCGATGACCGCGGTGATCTACAGCTGCATCAGAAACCCGCCAGCCGCCAACTGCGTGCCCCAGGTATACGTACGACACCCTCCATGATGAAGATCCATCGCCAGCCGCGCAAGCCCTGCAGCCCTTCCATCTGCATCAGCCCGAACGCGAGGATTCCGGCCAGAGCAGAGGCGACGCAGCCGATGAGGTAGAAGATGGAGAAGCGCTTCTGCACGTCGACTGCGCCGTCGTCAGCACAAAACCACACTCCTCAAAACGAAACATAGAACTTACACCTCGTGTACCAACTGGAAAGTAGGTACACACAGCCCGGGAAATAACCTGCCATCGTCAGCACCAACCTCACACCCCTCCCCGAGGAAAACCCCAAACACCACTCACCAGCCTCCAAAATCCCCAAGAGGAACCGACAAGCAACCATCTGCTTCCAATTCTTCGTAAACCCCATTCCCTAAAACGCCAACAACCATCAGAAACTCCACCTTTACCGCAAATCCAAACAACAAGACACAGAATAACTCACCACCAAAATCGCCCCCCAAGAGATAACAATACTGCCCAGAAAGATCGTCGGCCCAAACTTGCGAGTGACCACCGTCATCGGCGGCTGGAAGATCACGTAGGGAACAAAGAAAATGAGCACGATCACCGACTAAGTCAGCGGGGGGTTAGCACAAGCACGAGCACAAGCACATCCACCAAACCAGCCCCACTAGCCACGAGCCACTAGCCCCAGGAAACACCCACATAGCGTGTCCCAACCGTCAACTGCAGGTCTTTCGTCATGCTAGACAGGGCACAATCAGTCAGTACACAGGCACTGCACGAATGGTAGACCTAAGGCCAGGCCATCAACGCACCCCGCGACAGCAGCCATGCTCAAGTTCGTCCGATCCATCAGGGAAATACAATACGCCAGACCGGTGATGGTCACCAGCCGGCGATCGATGCGGTGGATGATCTTGCGCTGCTCCGCGTAGGAGTACTCCTCGTCGTGGTCGACGTCGTGGGGGCTGGGGTTGGCCTGCGTGATGTCCTCGATGCGGTCCACGCTGGCCCCGCCTTTCTCGCTGCTGGGAGGGGACATGACGGGCGTGTGCAGAGGTGTGAGAGAACCAAAAAGAAAAAAGGAAACTCGATCTTCAAAAGCGACTATCGATGGAAAGCCCGACTTGCCAAGACCAAAAAAAAAAAAAAAGCAATGAGAAGAGATTTTAGAAAAAGCAGGGGGTAGGTAGATGTCGGTCGGTCCGGGGGTAGTGAATAGTAGTTATATGTCGCACAAAGATAAGAAGAAAGAAACTGCCTAGCAGAGCAGAACAAGTCAACTAGTCAATCGGAAATCTACATCCTCCCCCCCCTCTCTTCTTTCTCTGTCGTTCTCCACCCACGCGGCTACATGACGAAGTCGACTCCCTCCATTGTCTCCCCTCCACAGACCACACACCCGGCGCAGCTGATGGCGTCGCTGCCAAACAAGAAACTTAGTTTCGCGGGACCTTGAGGAGCAACGAATCCAATAACCGCTCAACAGGTCAACAATTTACCTCGGTCTGGGGAAGAAAAGGGAAGGAGAAATGGCAATGGTCCGGGGAAGGCGGGGGGGGTGGGGGGTTCCCCACAAAAACTGGAGCAAGACAAGTCGCCAACCTTCCCCTCCCCGGATTTGGGCGATGGGGAGGCCAGGAGAAAGAATGCGGGGGTTTGGGGGGAAGAATCATGGATGCCGGTCCCTTGGCATTCCCCTTGGCAGCCAGACCAAGAGCGGATACGAACAACTGACTCTTTGCCATGGCCCTGGCGTGGCGACCAAAGGGTCTGGCCGGAATCGCGTGGTATCTGCAAGGAGCTGCTAGCTCATTCAAGCAAATCAAAATGCCATGCCCTATATAAACTGAAAAACTAAACTACCTATTGCTATGCACAGATCAATCGTTATTCTTCCGAGTCGGAAACACAAAAAAACGCCTCATCCACAGAACCACAGAACCACACCCACACGCATATAACAATGTACACGACACCCCTAGAACCATGTTCTGGAGCGTTCATCTGTGCGCTTGTCGGGTTCAGCTCCGTTCCCCTCGAACCTCGGCACAACAGACTATCTAGTAGACCCATACACATCCTCATCGCTCTCCTCCGGAATCAACCATTGCCGCTCGCCACTCTCCTCCATGTCCCGCTGCTCCTCCTTCATGTGCCGTCCGGCCAGGTAGACAAAGGCCACCAGGGCCGTCCCCACGACGAATCCAGCGCCCGCGAAGAAGATGTTGATGGGGATGGGGTTGCCATCAAAAGGCCCATGGGTGAGGGCATCGAGGCCATACTGGGAGAAATTGACGAGCCCTGAAAAGCAGATGATAGTTCCGTAGACGCGCCCGAAGGTGGCGAACCCAAACACCTTGGTGGCGTAATCCCTGCGAATCACAAATTCAGAACCCATCAGTATATCTTCCGATCCAAAGTCAATATCCGAGACAAGAACTTACGACATCGCCGAGTAGTAGAGTGGCCGCAGCAACACGAACAGGGTCACGGTCACATAGCCCGTCCACAGGACAGGAATGGAGTTGAGGATGCCAATCACGGTGGTGAGCGCGACGATGATGCCGAGGATGGAGGGCACGCTGAGGTTGTCGAGCAGCATCCCGATGAAGGGCGTGGAGACAACCCCGCCCACCGGCAAGGCCACGTCGAAGAAGCTGTTGATCTGGGCCGCCAGCGGGGCGGACTGCAACATGTACTCGTACTGCGCGTAGATGGTCGCGATGAAGTAGTTCATCCGCAGCATCTGCAGCACCGTCATCAGGGTGATCAGGACAAACCACGGGGTCAGCATCTGCTTGTGCGCCGGCTGGCCATGCAGCGCGCCCCAGACCGCGCTTGTCGCCTGGCGTTCTTCTTCGTGGTGCTCACGCTGCAGCCGCTCGTCGCGATCGCCCAGCACCTCGTCAATCTTGTGGATCTTGTTGAGGCGGCGCTTGGCACGCTCCCGGCGGATCCGCAGGAGCTCCGAGTCACTCTCGATGTCGTCATCCGAGTCGTGCACGTCGCGGGTCGCGTCCTCCGCCTTTTCGATTCTAATCTCTAACTGATGCGCGCTCTGATAGTCGCGGGCGGGCATGATAGTGATAAGGGCGATAAATATAAGCACGGGGACCAGCAGGTACCCCGTAAAAAATGCCTGGGGGGTGAAGGACCGGTCGGTGGCGTCATACGCCAGACGGTAGAATAAATATACAGCTGCTGATGCATCGAAGGCGCCGGTGACCAGGGCCACAATGGTTCCTGCATACTTGGGAAACGCATTGGTGATCTGAAACGAAGGCACGAAAATGAAAGTCCCGCCCAGGGCGAGGAAGAAGTTCGCGACGATGTACCCGTCGAACCCGGGCTCCGAGAACGAATATGCCATCAACACACAGCCGATGGACAGAAGCACGCAGCCCGCGAAGCCACAGACGCGCGAACCATAGCGATCCAGGATGGTTCCGACCGGCAAGGCAGACACGTTGGCTGTGATCGAACTCACCGTGAAGAAGAAGTTGAGTCTGCTCGAGTCAGCGGATATGATCCTTCCAGGGGGGCGAATTTGGCGGAACGGGCCATACGCACCTGAGATCCTGTTCCACACACACATCGACACCGTCGCGCAGTTCTTCGTCAGTGCACAGATCCCGGTATACTCCCTCCGCGATCAAGACCGGCTTGAGCGCTGCGAATCCGAAGACAATGCCTGCAGCGAACCAGCATGCCAGAATCGTGACGGCGACCTGGGCTAGACGGGGTCAACAGGGAGATTCGCGCGAGCAACAAAAGCAAACTCCAGTCTTGTACCACCTACCTAGTCGCGTGGCGGTGGGGACTTTATAAGCCGGAGTCCCCGAGTGCAGTTCTTCTTCGATGGGTGGCTGAGGTGGAGGGAAAAAGTCGTAGCTGATCTTGCGACGGATGGAACCGTAGTGCTCGCTGGTTACGGCGGTGGTGATGGTGCTATCATCGTGAGGATCGGGTTCGCGGTCCGCACCCTCAATTGCAGAGACGTGCTGGACCAAAGACATGGTACTGTACTGTACTTTCGATGACCAGAAGCTAAGTAATAAGTGTAGCAATTGGTCTGGAGAGCGACAAGGCTACAGAGCCTGGTGCCAGGGGACGAGGACAAACGACGACGACGAATGGACAGGGAAAAGGGAAATGGAAAACGGGAAACGGGAAGGATGGGCTTGTCTCAGCTTCAAGGTTTGGGGGAGGGAAGGTCGGCAGGAAAGTTAAAGTGGTTGGGTTTGGGAGGTCCGGGGCTTGCGGGAAGGGAAGTTGGAACGTTCGAGAGTTCTCTCTCGCCAGCCACCACCTTACTTCGCGGTTGTTCACTTGAGAAGAAAAAAATTTGTGAATGAAGGGCTGGAGAAGAAAAACAAGAGGGAGGAATTTTCGAAAAGCACAACACAAAAAAACAGGATTTGGAGTGGGTAAATAACCCCGTCTGAACTAACTAACTATAGCTTATCGTTCTTATCTTGCGGTGGGGAAAGATCAATGCATTTTTGAAGGTACTGACTGTACTCGCCCAGTTTATCGTGTTTAAAGAATGGAAGGGGAAAAACCTAAGGGCACCTGACGTCTTGAGCTTTTTTTTTTTTGTCTCTCTTTCTCTACCCCGGCTCCACCACGGCCGATGGGTCTAGATTATTCACCATTTTTCCTAACTAGTCCCTCCTTAGCTTATCGAGGCTACCAGCTAAGCGGTCTGGCTTCCTGCAATTGGTGGGACCTCAAATAAAGATTGTTTGTATCCCGCCATCGACCATTCTTCTAGAAATACCCGGAATACCCTGCATGAAAGATAATGTATTCTGGAGGACATCACGCCATCCACGACCAGTACGTAGAGTCGCTGCCTCTGCACGTCGGTATTCGGTACATACGGAGTGAAGTACACAAGATGAGCATTGATCTTCCGCATTTACCCCTCTCTTTCCTGCAGCACGTTGCGGACTTCCCACGGGGATAGCTCTGTTGTCCGCAGGGTTCTACCCCGACTTGCCGCGATTTAAATGCTGGAGTTTCTTATCAGATGTGATTTGCAGTCTGCTGTCAAGCTTCTTGTGGTAGCTCTTGATAACTCTGCACGGACAATCTGTCGCCATAGTTGACTGCAATTGCAACAGAATTTCTATGAATATCCCAGGATTGACAAAGTGAGAAGAGAACGAAGGCGCTATATATCGCACTGGTGTGACTGGAAAGGTATTTTTCACATGATTGCAACACACGAATTGACAACTGGACCAGCACAAGATAAACACAGGGCACCAAGGAGAGCTGGACTCTTGGAGGCTCAGGCGGTGAGTGCCGAGGCTACCGTACCTAACTAAGTATACAACCCAATCCGGCAATCGGAGCGAGACCCGGCCGATGACAGCTCCGAGCTCCCAACGGGCCTAAACCCGATGCGGCCCAGCCGATCCATGATCCAGGCAATCACCCTTTCTGCCTGAGGGTGCAACATTCCCATCTACCATTTAAGTTTCCCTCATCCCAAGGAATGCCCGACCGTTGGGAACCATCATTACTGAAAGCAACAACACATCTATAACAACATCCCAAAAACCAGGGAAGCAACCAAATGCTCCGATCCCCTTCGAATGAAATGGCAGACTGGAATACTGGGCTACCAATCTCATATAGGCCTGACCATCAGCTGATCCTGGCTTGCCGGGCGGCAATGACGTATGCGGAACGGGACGGGGAGGAGGCAGTGACGTAGGCGTCCTCCATTCCATAAAATGTTTGTAGATCCTGGGCGTCCATGGTAGAAGAGGGGGAGAGACAGCTGTCAGTCAGACCTTCTTTTTGTTTTTCGCCTTGTCCTTTTGGCAGACACTACATCTACTGGTATTATCTTCGAGAATCACAACAACAACAGCAACAACAACAAGGCTAAGGCCCAATGACCATGGCTTCGATATCCATCAACGCCCCCGGTGCATCCGGCTTCATCTACAACAACGCGAACCTCGGGACGGCGCGGGTGTGCATCACGGCCGAGACCGAGGAGTTCGACACCCAGACCATTCGCGCGTGGGCGGACGAGGGGTTCGATGTGGTGTACGTGCCGTTCAACAACGGCGGGAAGGACTACGCGGCTCGACTGCGGACGGTGAAAGATGGGTTGGGGGTGGGGGACAACTATGCGATCATCGGTAAGCACACGCCGTGGCGATCCCGCCTTCGGACTGACATCTCATTCTTCCAACTCAGCCTTCGGAGACGCGGCCTCCTTCTGCATGGACTACTTCCTCAAGCCGACCAACGCGAGCCGTCTCGCCGCGCTGATCGCCTACTACCCGACCACGATCCCCGACACGCGCAACCGCTACTCGGTGCAACTGCGGGTGCTCTGCCACCTGGCCGGCAACACGGTGGACATGATCACCATCCCGACGGCGCTGGGGCTGCAGGGCAAGAAGAAGCGGACGACCAAGAAGATCAACCCGGGCATCGGCACGGGCGAGCGGCTGAACATCGGCTGGCCGACGTTCACGTACGCCTCGGTGCAGCCGGGGTTCGCCGAGAGCGACCTGGAGGAATACGACCGGCTGGCGTCGGATCTGGCGTGGAGCCGCACGCTGCAGGTGCTGCGCAAGGCGTTCGGGAAGGACCTGGATCTGGAGTCGCGATGGGAGGAGCATCTGGAAGGTGCGTACGGCCTTTTGACTCAAACCACCTCGCCCCAACCACCTTGCCTCAACCACCTTGCCACAACCAACACTAACACACTCCCCTCCACCTAGCGCGCTTCTTCTCCATGAACCTCAAAGGCACCGTCGAGCCGTACGTCTCGCACCTCAACCCGGCGGTGACGATGGCGCCGACGATGAGCGGGGGGATCGGCGCGCACGCGCTGCGCCGCTTCTACGAACACCACTTCCTGCGCAAGCTGCCGCCGTCGATGCGGCTGCGGCTGATCTCGCGGACGGTGGGCGCGGACCGCGTCGTCGACGAGCTGTACGCCTCGTTCGAGCACTCCGAGGAGATCCCGTGGATGCTGCCGGGCATCCCGCCCACGCACAAGCGCGTCGAGCTCATCCTGGTGAGCATCGTCAGCCTGCGCGCCGGCCGCCTGTACTCCGAGCACATGTACTGGGACCAGGCCAGCGTGCTGGTGCAGCTGGGCCTGCTGGACCCCAAGTACGTGCCGCCGGGCGCCGCGCCGCCCGGCGTCGACCGCCTGCCCGTCGTCGGCCGCGAGGCCGCCCGCCGCATCGTCGAGGAGGACCTGGAGGCCGAGCGGAAGGACTACCACAACCGGCTGATCCGCCGCGCGCGCGCCAAGCAGCGCGGCAAGAATGGGATGGTCGAGGAGTCCGGCACCGAGGCGGGCGATCTCGTCCCCGAAAAGGCGCTGGGCGACGGCGACAACAAGGGCAAGAACGTGCAGCGCAACGGCGAGGAGCAGCAGAACGGTCACCACCATGACGACGGAGACCACGACGGTGCCGTGGGCGACGAGCATCCCGATAATGATGATGACGACCACAACACCCCCAGTAACGGGAATAGCAAAAGTCCCGCCGCTGCCACTGTCGAGGACGAGCCCGAGCCGAAAAGTGATGACTGAGCCCCCCCACCACCACCACCCGGGGCCCCATTTCTCCACTGGCATTTTCTATACCCTCGATATCTGCATTCTGTATCTCATGGTTTTGAATTATCTTTTGATTCCAGATTGTGCGAGATGACTCGCGTGTCTTTTTCTTCTTAATGTGTAGTGGTGGTTATTGATTCCCTATCTTTCCTCCAAGCTTAATACATAGTAATCTCATAGTCGAGCATATCCCAGGGTCTAAGTAACGTTCCAACTTCTTCCGAATCACACCCCCACTGGCTAATTTAACCTCTTATGCAGGTACTATGTACGTAGTATGTATATGGTATTCATCTCTCATGTTCTTCATAATCTACAGTGCCGCGCAACATTCACATTCACACCCAGCTATACCGTCTCGATATACCGCTTGAACTCCCTGTACACCCCGTCAATCAACACCGCAGTCTCACAAAGGACAAGGGAAACTTACCAATCCGTAACGGCCTCGCGCCACACGCGCAGCTCATGCTCGCGCGTGGCGGTGAAGAAATCCACAAACTCGGGGGCCAGGATCTCGCGCGCGATGCTGTCGGGGGCGTGGAAGCGCCGCAGCGCCTCCTCGAGGGTATTGGGGAGGCGGGCGGGCCGGGTGTTGGCGGCCTTCATGGCGGCGACGGGCGGGACGGGGATCTCGCGCTTGTGCTGGACGCCGCGCCAGCCGGCGGCGAGGAGGGCGGCGAGCGCGTAGTGCGGGTGCAGGTCGGCGCCGGGGATGCGGACCTCGAAGCGCGTGGCGGCGGGCTTGCAGACGGGCGGCGCGACGAGCCGGATCGACGCCATGCGGTCCTCCAGCCCCCAGCTGACGTGGACGGGCGCCCAGAAGTTCTCGACCAGCCGCTTGTACGAGTTGACCGTCGGCGCGAACAGCGGCATCAGGTCCGGCAGCGCCTCCAGCAGGCCGGCCAGGAAGTGCCGGCCCAGCGCCGACAGGCCGGCGGCATCGGCCCAGGGGGCGGCGGGGTCCGGGGTCGGCGTCTCGGTCTCGGTCCCGCGCGCGAACAGGTTCCGGCCTGCCAGATCGCACAGCGAGATGTGGATGTGGCCCGAGCTCCCCGGTTGGCCTTGCATCGGCTTCGCCATGAAGCACGGCGTGATGCCGTGCTCGAGGCCGACGGATTTAGCCAGGAGTCTGTGGGGGTTGTCAGTTTGCGGTGGGTAGTGTGGGGCGGCTCAGGGGCGTGCGTACTTGAATAGAGACACCTTATCTGCCATCTCGCTGGCGGGGGATACCTTAAGCGCCTGGGGATTGTGAGCATTCGCACAGACACTCGCGTCCGCAATCACGGCCAACTCACTGCTTCGTATACGCCCGGTCCACCTTCCGTGTGCCAGCCCTCGATCCCGCAGTTGAACTGTGCACTGGTGTCGAAGATATCGTAGAAGTATTTCTTGTACGCTACCGGCCTGGTGGCGCTGTAGGAGAAGCTCCCCTGCGTGAGCGGGCGCAGCGCCCCGGGGGCATTCTTATCGAGGAAGGCGGCGATGTCGCGGATCTGGGAGCCGTTCGCCCCGTACCCGTCCTCGGAGGGGGTCTGGAAGTTCATAAACTCTAGCTCCACTGTCTCTGGGGTCAGCATTTTGTCAAAGTCCAGTCCACCATCAACCTGCAGGCGGCCATACCTCCGGCCATCGCCTGGCAGTTTTCCGCGGCGAGGCGATCGCATACCGCCCGGAGCATGCTGCGCCCGTCGGCCGAGACGGGCTGGTCGTTCTGGACGAAGCGCACGAGGAAGAACGGGATGTTGTCCTCCCACGGGATGCGCCGGAAGGAGTGCAGGTCCGGGATGGCAATGAAGTCGACGTAGCCCGAGTCCGCGGGCGCGATCTTCGCCTCCGTCGTGTACAGCACGTCCTGCATGTCCCACCCGAACACGGCGGAGCTGAACCCGAAGCCCTTCTGCGCGATCCCCAAGAACTTCTCCGTGGACATCACCTTGCCGCGCAGGATGCCGTCGCAGTCGATGCCGGCGACCTTGACCTTGATGTCGTTGGCGAGGAGGCCGGGGAGGTCCTCCGCGGTGATGGCTGCGGATGTCATCGCGACGGGTATCTTCTGTAGTGAGTCGCAAAAGTGTGGAAACCAGAAATGGAGAGGAGGAAGGAAAGGCGAGGCGAGGACTTTAAAGGCAGTCGCAGCAGCGTCTGCGCGTGACCCCGACGACGGTCGCAATGCTTGCGACAGCATGGTACAAAGACCCACTGGAGCTCCATCGCGCGGCAATCAAATTGGCCGTCTTCAATGGCAAAGACTGATTTGGCGATACTGGCCCCGAAAGTGACGGCTCCAGGACTGGGGAAGTTGGAGCTATACAGCTACCGCGCGCGCTCCCAAACACCTCGGACCGCGCTGCTGCGGGGCAAGCCACGGGTCCGCGCTTATCGCTTATCGCTCGTGAGGGGTCGGGGTTGGGGAGGAGCCACGTGATGCTTTGACCCAAGGCCTGTTACGTAATAGTCATCTTGCCAGTTGCCTCAGGTGTCACCGGGGAGCCCAGCAAGGAATTCATTCGAACCGCGGTTGTTGGTATAGCTTGTAAGAATTTGGTATAAAAAGTCAAGATGGGCGTAGTGAGTGCTTCACTATGCACTAGCGGGGACTGGCGAACACCACAATCACAACCGCAAGCATGATGACCCAACTTCTTCGAGTCGCTGTCCTGGAATGCGACACGCCAGTGGATCCCATTCTCACCCAATATGGCACCTACGGGGATATCTTTGAGAACCACCTGAAGGAGGGGTTTCAGAAGATTGAGACTCCCGTGAAACTGCAGTTGACAAAGACCAATGTTGTACTACCATTTGCCGAGTACCCCAAACCCGAAGACTTCGACGTCGTACTCCTGACCGGCAGCAGTAAGGCAAGCCAACTACTATTCAGAAGACGGTGCTGACACGGCTTAGAACACGACTCTTACAAAGATGAGCCCTGGATACTCACGCTGGTCCGCTTCGTCCAAGATTGCTATACCGTGCACAACAAACCCATGCTCGGAATCTGCTTCGGCCACCAGATCATTGCGCGGGCTCTGGGGGCACGCGTTGGCCCCAGTGTCTCTGGATGGGAGGTGGCCGTCGAGCCGTTCTACTTGACCAGTGTAGGGAGGCAGCTTTTTGGGAAGAATGAGATTGTATGTCGGCTGGATTGCTCTATTGGAAAATTAGGTACTGACGATGTACAGTCTTTGCAGATGATGCACCGTGATGTTGTCTTGGAAGTTCCGCCGGGATGTGTCAACCTGGGTAGCAGTCTGATCTGTGGTATCCAGGGTTTGTACATCCCGAAAAAAGTCCTGACTGTTCAAGGCCACCCAGAGTATAACGACTTCATGGTCAGCTCGATTCTCAAGATACGCTATGAGCGCGGTGTGTTCGAGGAGGGCTTCTACAAGGATGGCATGTCGCGGGTCGATAAGCCGCATGACGGGGTGTTTGTTGCGGAAACGATGACCCGATTTGCGTTGGGCATGTTGGATTGATTTGAAGAATTGCTTCCTGTAGAATTTGAGTACTCAATCATTTACTTTAGCCCTGAGGAGCATGCCTAATGATTCCATTGTGTTCTCCCCCTCCCCGCCACATCGATGCATCCTTACGTCGAGCCCCACCGCCAGACCGCGCCTCCGCCGATGGAGCGCGCCAATCGCATGCGTGCCCACTTTGCCCCTCCCACACCTCTTATCGTCCGATTATAACAACCTGAACTCTTCATCCCAGCTGCCACTTACCGATTCCCCAACCCCCATCCCAATCTCATCCAGGTCGATTGTTGCTTCCACAGATTTGAGACTCACCCGCAACATATCCAAGATGACGAACCAGATCCGTACGCTTTCCCCCTCGACGAACAAGGTCATCTTCGAGCACCCCGGCACCTCTCTCGAAGAAGCCCGGAAAATCGTCCAAGCGTCCCAAGATGCACTGCGCACGTACAAGAAAACGACCCTCGCCCAACGGAAGGAGATTGTCGTGAAAGCGCTGGATCTCATCGTCGCCGACCGAGACACGCTGGCCGCCGAACTGACGACTCAAATGGGCCGCCCGATCGCCTACACCGGCAAGGAAATCGACACCTTCCGCAAGCGCGCCGACTACCTGCTCAACATCGCCGAAGAGAGCCTGCAGAACCTCCCCGGCACCCCCGAGAGCGGATTCCGGCGTTTCATCAAGAAGGAACCCGTTGGTCCTGTTCTGATCTCGACCGCCTGGAATGTGAGTTACCTTACCCCTGCCCCTGTCAGTGGCAAATCAGCTTTTGCCGAGTTTGTTGCCGATGCTAAGCTTGGTAGTACCCGTACCTCATCACCGTCAACGCCCTCCTCCCCGCCCTGCTGAGCGGAAACACCGTCATCCTCCGGCCCTCCCCGCAGACCCCCATCTTCGGCGAACGGCTCGCCTCCTATTTTGCCCAGGCCGGTCTGCCAGACCACGTGCTGCAGGTCATCCACTGCGGCTCCGCGGACGTGCTCGACGAGATCGCCCAACTGCCCCAGATCAAGCTCATCTCCTTCGTCGGCTCGACGCTAGGGGGGCTGCGCATCCGCGAGGCCACCGCCCGCCGTCTGGTGCCGGTGAACCTCGAGCTGGGCGGCAACGACCCGGCGTACGTGCGACCCGACGCCGACCTGGCCTCCGTGGCCGCCAACATCGTCGACGGGGCGGTGTTCAACTCGGGCCAGAGCTGCTGCGCCATCGAGCGGGTGTACGTGCATGCGGACGTGCACGATGCGTTTGTGGAGGAGGTGAAGAAGGAACTGGCCGGGTAGGGCCCCTTTCCTCGTTGAACCCCTCCAACAATCCCCAATCGCGATGGCTAATGTTTTGTTTGAACCTACAGTTACAAAGTCGGCGACCCCCACAATCAATCCACGACGACCGGCCCCGTGATCTCCAGCCTCGCCGTCAAGAACATCCAGTCGCACATCACGGATGCCCTGTCCAAGGGCGCGGTGGACGTGACGCCATCGAACCCCACATTCCAGAACCTACCCGCGGAGGGGAACTACCTGGCACCGACGGTGTTGATCAATGCCACGCACGACATGCAGGTCATGAAGCACGAGACGTTCGGCCCGGTGCTCCCCATCATGAAGGTCTCCTCGGACGAGGAGGCAGTCGACCTGATGAACGATAGCGACTACGGTCTGACGGCGAGCATCTGGACCAAGGATATCAAGAGGGGCGAGGAGTTGATTGACGATGTCGAGGCGGGCACGGTGTATTTGAACCGTTGCGACTATCCCAGTCCGGTATGTTTGGGAAATCCATCTGTAAGAAACGCATGTGCTAACATTTTGGGAATAGGATCTCGCGTGGATCGGATGGAAGAATTCGGGTCTGGGGTTCACGCTGGGCCCCAAGGCTTACGACGGGTTCTACAAGATGAAGAGCTTCCATATCAAGGAAGAGTAAACTGGGCGGTTGATGCGATTTAATGAGTTATGTGTGGTTGATGAGATAGACTGGGTAGTAATCGCACGTGAGCAGTGTGTCCATTTTCTCACCTCGTACTTCTCACACCTTGCCGACAATCTGGTCCCGTAGCCCTTGCAAGAATATCCCCATAGTCCAGCACAACTGCTACAAACAAATCTCCTCGTATGCTAGAAGAGTTTCCCCATGAAGCCGTCGCAGGGATCCCGGGCACTCGAACTCCCTCCCCCCTTGCCTTGCCTCTCCCTCCTCGACCACCAGATAAACAGCCTCAATCCTCAATATAAACCATCATCCTCCAGAGCTCCCCCTCCGAACCAACCCTCACCAACTACTTACTGCAAGAAAATGCCCCCCTGACAACCAACCCCAACCTACCTAGTATCCTCCGAGCAACCCAGCAAAGCACCCGATAAGCTAATGAAGCTAAGCTTACTACTAGACTAGGTAGCTTGAAGCTCCCATTGAACCGCCGCGCGGTCCCGGACCGCGCTCCCCCGGCAGGCAAGCAAAGCACAGCGGGCCCGGGGCACGGACCCGACTTCCCGTGTCGTGTCGCATGCTTATCGCTTATCGCACACAGTCACAGTAACAAGCTCAGCATTTTACAGTTTACCCCTCCATCCGAGGTAACTTACAGTACAGTAAGTTATCCGGTCCCTGTCCTAATCAATTCTCTTAGCGATAAGAATCATCCTTTGATAAAAACAAATTAAATAAAAATAAAACAATAGCATTTTACCGAAGAATATCCTCTAATCCGGTCCATGAATCGACTTTCCCCGAGGGGCAAATCACGTGTCCATCGTCTCTGGCAGCGCGGCGCAGCGAACACGTGGAACACCCCGAAGCGCGGTATCCGGGCGGTGAAGGTGAAGAGGTGGGGTGGGGGGTAACTTGGTGGGGGGAAGGTTGGAAGGGTAGTAGCTTTGGCGGCGGCGAGGGGGGGAGGAAGGGAGGCCGGGCATATTAAAGCGGTCCCACGGTCGGGGTCTCTTCTTTCGCACACTTCTATCTTCCACGCGCAATCTCATCCTGCACTTTCACTTCGGGGGTCCAATATCTGCGGAATATCGGTTCAATTACACGATCAAGGACTTGGATTTACGCTACTGAATCAAAGGAAGGATTAATCGAAGGACAGACACAATGGTTGGACGACTTGCTGGCAAGAATGCTATCGTTACCGGTGCGGCGGGGTATGGTGTCCCCCCCCTTCCCCCCCGTCTTCCTCTTTTGCTGTGACGATATACTCGAGATGGGATCGCTCAAAAAGCCAAGAGCAAAGACAAAGACAAGCTGACCGATGACCCCGAACACAGCGGCATCGGCCTCGAGACCACGATCCTCATGCTCCGCGAGGGCGCGTCCGTCCTGATGACTGACGTCAGCGGGCCGGGGCTCGAGAAGGCCCTCGCCAAGGTGCGCGAGGTCGTGCCCCAGCACGACGGCCGCGTCGAGACGCGCACCGTCGACGTGTCCAAGGAGAGCGAGGTCGAGGCCGCCGTCGCCCACCTGGACGCCTGGGGCGGCGTCGACGTCATGTTCAACAACGCCGGCATCATGCACGCCCAGGACGGCGACAGCGAGCAGACCCCCGAGAACATCTGGGACCTGACCATGAACATCAACGTGAAGGGCGTGTGGTTCGGGTGCAAGCACGCCGTCAAGAGTCTGCGCAAGCACGGCAAGAAGAAGGGCAGCGTCATCAACACGGCCAGCATGGTGGCGCTAGTCGGCGCCGCCACGCCGCAGTTGGCCTACACGGCCAGCAAGGGCGCCGTGTTGGCCATGACCCGCGAGTTGGCGATTGTGCATGCGAGAGAAGGTATGTGGTTTCCCGTGTGCTGAGGGGTGGATTGCTGATCGTGCTTGGTTTGATGTGTAGGATTCCGATTTAACTCGCTGTGTCCGGCTCCTTTGAAGTGAGTGTTTCCTTGATGTGCGGATTGAGATTGGTGGAGCGTCTTGGGCTGACAATGGCACTAGCACCCCCCTGTTGCAGGATTGGCTCGGCGATGACAAGGAGAAGCGCTTCCGCCGCGAGGTCCACTTCCCCACCGGTCGCTTCGGCGAGGCCATCGAGCAGGCCCACGCAGTCATCTTCCTGGCCAGCGACGAGAGCAGCTTCGTCAATGCCGCGGACTTTGTGGTGGACGGCGGTCTCACCAAGGCCTATGTCACCCCGGAGGGTCCCGCCACTGAGGCCCCCAAGAACCAGGCCTCTTAGAACCAGGTATTCCCGCTTGCGCTTTTCCAAGCTGGTCTTGTGGAGGAGGGATGCTGCGATGAGTCATGAAACTAGTGTATATTTAGAATCGAGACGCCGTGGACGGTAGACGGTAGTTTTTTCCTTGTTTATGCAAACGATATCCAGATTTGATTCTGCTCCATCGCTCGACAGATGTTCCAGGGCCCCGCCTCCTCCAGCGGCATCTGCCACATGTGCTCGAGGAGTAGCTTCGTGCGGTGCATATTCCCCAGCCCGAACGTAGACACCATCGTCGTCAACCGCTGTCGCAGGTTCTCCTGGTGGTCCGGGTGGGACAGACAGGATCCGACGACGGCGATGGGCCAGCAGAGCCCGGAGTTGATGCGGGCGGTCGCCGACAGCTGCGTCAGATACGACATGGCCTCGGCGATGGCCGTCTCGACCAGCATCTGATGCATCCCCGTCTTCGACCGCGCGAAGTGGCGGGGCCCGCCCAGCGCCGTGTACAGGTAGAGCAGCATCGCCTGCTGGAAGATCCGGCCCGCCAGAAACACCTCGGGCGAGACGGACGCGAGCGGCGCCCACCGCATGATCTGAGCCTGCAGCGACCCATACATGGCGATCTCGTCCGCCGTCGGCACGATGGCCGGCTGCTCCCCACTATCCGGATCATCCGTCGGAGGCAGCATCATCCAGTGCCGCCCGAGGTCGAAAATGCAGGGGATCAGCAACAGCAACTCCAGCCAGCACCCGCACAGATTCCCCACGTACCCGACCTCCAGCAGCTGGCGGGCGCTCTGCTCCAGGTCGAAGTTCAGGAGCACCTGCTGGCTGACCCGGGCGTCGATGGAGATCATGCTCACCGCCGCCGTGTAGGTGTAGTACTCGATCACAAAATCCCTGAGGTCTTTGGGGATGGCTGCATCGGCCGCCTGGTGGTGGTGGCCCAGCAGCCGGATCAGCAGGGAGTGCGCGGCGGAGAGGTGGTCGAAGATGGTGCCGTTCATGTCGCCTTTCGCCGTCTGCATATGCGGGGCATTAACCAAACAGGGCTCATCTAGAGAGAGAAAACATGTACCTGTACTGTACTGTACTGTACTAGTAAATCAGGAGTGGTGCATGCCATACCTCAGTGAAGCACATCACCAGCGCCCCCACCGTCAGAATCAGCGGGTTGGACTCCTGCCCGTCGATGAACTCGGTCACCCCTTTCCGGAACAGCTGCAGCGCTTTCGTGTAGTGGCTCTGCGCCACCTCGTCCGAGTCGTTCAGCCGCCGGAACGCCCGGTGCGCCGCGCTCTGCGTCAGCACCAGCTGCAGCAGCAGGTCGCTGCTGAACGCCAGCGGCACGATCTGCACCAGGAACGGGTTGATCGGCGTCGACCCGTTGGCCATGCAGTCTGCCGTCGTCGCCATGTAGTGGCTCAGCAGCTGGTACGCGTCCAGCCCGTGGTTGGGCATCATCGACATCGCGCGCGGGAGCGCGTGGCCTACTGTTGTGAGTGCTGTTGTCGTGGCTGTGCGGTCTGGAGCGGGCGTGGGGATGGTAGCGGTAGATTGTGAGCCGGTGGTAGTGAAGCCTGGGGTGGTGTGGGGATTGCTGTTCTCGTCCTCGAGCAGCTCCATCTCGCGCGGGATCTCCTCCTGAGATAGTTCGGAGTCGGGGGATGCTGACGATGGTACTGCTGCTGGTGGTGGGGACGACGATGATGAGGGTGTCTCAGGAGAGCTGGAGACGCGGGTCTGCGTTCGGGCGATATGCTCGGGGCGTGGTTGCGCATGGCTCTCGGGGCAGAATGTAGTGGTGGGCGTAGCGGCAGTCAAGGCATTAAGCGTAGTCGCGCTGGGGACCCCCAGCACACTCGATGGCCATTGGCAGGTCAGCTTGTTGCGCACGCAGCCCCCGCAGACGGGTTTCGCCTCGTCGCACTTCTTCTTGCGCCGTCGGCAGGCCCAGCACCCCGTCCGGACCCGCACGATGGGCTCGGTGCGTAGCCGTTTAGTCGCCGGCATTTGGGCTGACTTTCGTGTTGTATTCTAGAAGCCCCGGGGAGTTAGTCGTGGGAGAGAAATAGAGGTCTAAGGGACTAGTCATGGATCGCTCCGGGCTGAAAGGTGTAGTGTGATGGGGAAGAGTAGCGGAGGTTGTGATGATAAGAGAAGAACTGTGGGGGGAATTGGCCCATTCTGGAGACGTTGATTGGCCGCTGGGGCCGGGACCGCGGTGGGGATTTTGTATCGACTCAGGAGTGGTACAGTAAGGTATGGTTCGATAGATTCCAGTTAAGTACTGTACAGTACGCAGTCTATAGGTGATTGGATGATGGCAAGCTTTGTGAAAGAAAAGGAAAAAATGCTTCATATCGATATATTTTACCAGCCATTGATTCTCGGCCATACGTCAATAATCCTAGACCCATCGCCATCTTCACTGGAATCTACAATCAAATACCATCCATACAGGGCACCGGTGATACACGCATGGTTGGGGAAAATCTTCACAGACTGGCCAAGCTTGAGAGGGATCTTTGACTGGTCGCTTTCATCCTCCCAAGCAACGATAGCGTGCTCCTGGCTGATGCGCTGCACAAGGAGTCGGGAAGCGCCCGGTTCCCGTCTCCAAGCACTGATAAGCCCCCACCCGGGATACGAGGCGGCCGGCTCTCTCCCCAGAGCCAAGGAGCCTGCCGCGACCAGCGCTTCAGGTTGCGAACGCTCCCCATTGTTGTAGACGCTGCACACTTCAGCGATCACGGAGATGCCGATCTCGCTCTCGGCATCCCGTGTCTTGTGCACATTGGTCCCCAGCTGCTGCATATCGAGAAACGGATACACGCCCGCATGAAGCTCAACCTTGACCTTCGCGTTGACGTCGTGGTCTGGGCCGTGAAGGAGGTTCCTCAGCGCCCGGGCTCCGGGACTGAGGGATTCATGCAACAGGTGCTGCGAGGAAACCACCTGCGGCGTCGCGCCGACACTGATGACCAACTCCCGGTCGGTCGGGAGCAGCTGGAGGTTCTGTTTCAGCGCTTCCCTGCAGCTGGAAATCTCCTCATTCAGATATGCCATCAACTCTTCTGGCGTAGATCCCGAATAGCTCAAGCTGTTGTGGGAGTACAACCCCAGAAGCGACGCGTGGCCCTGCTCCTCCGCGGCCGCGACCTTCTCCAGCAGCCCGTTTTTGTTGAGCTTGTTCGGCGGAAGCCCCGCGCGGTGGTACCCGGAGTCCACCTTCAGGAATATGCAGGCGGCGTGGCCGGAGACTTCACGGAATGTTGCGAGGAGATCGACCTGGTCCGGGTGGTCGATCATGACGGAGATGCTCTTCTCGCCTAGTAGGCGGGCGAGTGCGGCGAGACGGGGCACCTGCGACGGCACGAGGGGGATGCCGTACAGCACGTTGACGGAACGCCCGGCGCGCTGGAATTCTTGGAGCAGGGGCACGAGCATCTCGCCCTCGAGGACCGTGGAGATGACCAGGTTGACCTCTTGGCTCGACTCGCCTACCTGGAGGCGGGTGGCTTGTGGGGTCTTTAGGAGGTCAATTAGCTCTGGTGTGGTGTGGGGGATGGTATGGGAGGGATGTGTCTGACTTTATGGGTCTTGACGTGGGCGCGGAATCCAACATTCAGCGCTGTGGCTGCGTCCAGCATGGCCTGGCAGTGTTTCTTGATGATGGCCACGTCCAGCACGACGGCCGGTTTGGGCACGTCGTTGATGTCTTTGCCGACATAGAATTGCTTGAGCTCCGCAGTGGAGGGGGAGGGTCTTGCGGGAAACGAGGTGATGGCCATTCTGTATGAGTGTGCTGATGAGGAATAAGGCAGACTCATGTGGGTTTGAGGAGAGATTGTCTGCTGTTTTATAACCTCAATATCAGCTCCGCTCGCGCTTCCGTACACCGAATCTGGTAGGTGGGTCACCGCGGTTAAGCAACATTGGCTGGTCGGGATGGAGATAATACATCAATCATCTGCCCCTGAACATTGTCAACTCATCTTGAAAGCTTCAGGCAGACATATCAGGACATACCCCACTACTCTTCACAGTCTTAGAGCGATGTGCGGAACAAGGAAGTACTCGTATGTACGATTATGTGGAGGGAGTTGGCAGAGGATAAGCTGGAAGGCGGCAGCCGAGAGAGCCTGGAGCGAGCTCGCTCCCGCGCACTGAATCAGGAAGGTGGATTCGGCTTAGTCATTTGTCATTCGACATTCGCTTCGGCTCCGATCTTCGGTCCAGCTTCCTACTACTCACCGGCACTTCATCGCTCCATTCAATATTCAATAGTGCACTGCATATGAGGATTATTTGTCATTGTCTCAACTACATCGGAAAATAAACCTTCTTAGCGTCAGTGCGACTCTTGACAGGAAGTACGCACCGTCCAGTCAGTCTTCCGGTCAGATGGTGCGATGTACAGACCCGCACCGCCTCGACCGAAGAAGACCAGCATAGTCCGCTCGCGTACAGGCTGCAAGCTATGTCGCCAGCGCCGTGTCAAAGTTCGTCCTCATGATTGCTTGACTCGTTCTCCTCACTGATCCCCGTAGTGTGATGAAATTAAGCCATCATGCGGGGCATGTACCCGTGCAGGCAAGACCTGCGAACAAGTGTCACCAAGCTTCAGCTTCAGCAATCGAACTGCCTCTGTGCACAGAGCTGTATCGAATTCCCTTCAGCGTGTGCGATGGCAGCCATTCTACAAGTCTACTTCACCATCCAGTTTGCGGGTATACGAAGCTAGCGGAGCAACCCGCAAGTCGGAACAGGTGGTCCCGTTGAGCGTCTGCAAAGCACAAACCCAAGAAGATCCTGACCGAGCTGCAGATGAGTTGCGAAGACTTGCCTCAGCTGAGTCTTTCCTGCACATCGACACCGTGATTGACTTCAGAAGCGTCGAAAGTGAATACTTCTACCTCAACTACTGGGAAAGCTCATGTATCGATGCTCTGGGCCGTCTCTTCCACGGCATCAACTCCATCCTTCACACAGATAATGTTTTAAAACACTCCCTCCTTGCCTTGGCATCCTGCAACGTCAGCCGACGCTCTCCGGAGGGCCACACAAATCAGGGCAGACTAATCATCTTGCCCAATCGTACTCATCAACTATCCAGCCAGCGGTACTACAGTTCCGCGGTTGGCGAAACTGCAAGAACCTTACAAGCAAAGGCTGCATCGTCACCATTGACAACCTTGGCCATACTGGTGCTCTTCTGCTTCATGGAGACAGCTATGGGAAACTTCCGAGGGTTCGGATGGCATTGCCAGGGAATTGCCCAGATAATTGATCTGCAGCTTCCACACCTATCTAAAGACGCACTTGGCAAGGAACTCATTGCCGCCTGGCTTGCATCAAGACTCCATATGTGGTGGCGAAGAATGTACTTCACCACGTTTGCTCTCCAGCTCAGCCAAAGGTCGCTCTCTGTTTCACCGCAATTGACGCAGGTGCTGCGGACAATCGATGCTCAGAAAACTCTGCTTGTATCCATTCTGTGCGAGTCGCACCGGCTGAACACGATCGCCACTCTTCAGGTCTTATCAGAAACCTGTGCGCGAAGCCTGGCTGCCTGCACCGTCGACGAATGCATGTCATCATTGGAGGCAGAAGGGCAAAAGCTTGACGAGTGGCATTCTCGCCTCGATCCGTCTCGGCTCCCCTTTGATATGCTGCCCCAACTTCCGCATGGCCGTTTTTCTGAGATCGAATTTCCACTATTATTTCATTCCTACGAGGCAGCAGTCAACTATGCATACTACAGTGCAGCGCGAATTATGCAATGCACAGAAGTACTCTATCCTAGAGTAGAGTCCGACGAACACCGAGAAACTCGGCCACGAAAGCACCAAGCCGTCACTACATACTGGATGACCATCCTGCTTCGTACTGTCGCAGGCTTGGATATTATCGAGTGTGCTAGCAGAAATACCTATTCTATCGGTATTGCGAGCTTACTTCTAGCTTGCATCCTCAAGTGTGATGATCTTACATGCGGATTGCAAGTACAGGATTGGCTGCAAAAGTGCGTTGACCTCGCGATTCTTGAAGAGGGAAGCTTCCCGATCGCACAAACCCTGGGTGCTGTCCGCATCATCAATGAGGAACGTGTCGCTGGAAGGGATGTCTACGCGATTGGTTTGTTGGAAGATGACGGCGGTGGGTCAGGAAAGTATTCGTCTTACAACAGTCAAAGGTTCCGGGACTTTGTCATTTTAGGACGGATGAGGGTGGATGACTCAATATACTCCAAGAATATTGGTATGGGATCGGGCTGATATCACGACTAACGAATCCACCTCTCTTTGAGAAACTCTAAGGAACTATGGGGCATGTTTTGGCCACACTGCGTTGCCAGAGAAAGTCTCCAACTCTTCGACAAAGTTGTCCCACAGGGTATCTGATGTCATGGGTGCAGTGCAATACACCTGCGCTCCCGTCCCCTCCACCAATTCTTCTAATTCTGGAAGCACTGCATCTGCCGCTTGAGACTCCATATGCCGCTGCTCCTTCCGGCTGAGACCCCCCTGCTCACTAAACCAAGCGGAGTCTTCCTTGATTACTCCAGCTTGATATAGGGACCGCAGCCTGGGGTCGATGTCAGCATGGATTGCGGCTTCCATCGCCATCCGATACCCTACGGCCTGGATTAATGGAAGGGCTAGGGGAAGGATGGTCCGGTTGAATGCTTCGCTGCGATGGATCCCGCCGATGAGATCGAGAGATTCCTTCGCCTCCGCAAACAAGCCTGCCTCATGCTGTGCTAGAAGACTTTCGGGGTCTTCAGGTGGTGGGATCTGGTAACGGCCGATCAAGAGCTCGCTTGCTAAACCTGTTTCATGAGATAATCAGCTGGTGGTCATCAACCATAGGGGATTGGACATACGGATGGCAAGAACTCTGATATCGCCTTCAGCTGTTCCCACAGCACGAAACTCCAGCTGGAGAAATAAGGTTAGACAATTTGATCGAGCTAAAAATGACGGCTCTGCTTACTTCGGCTTGAAGAATCTGGTTGCGCTCATAGTATCCGTGCCAGCCGCAACCTTCGTTCAGGGCTTTTATGCTGGTCTGGAAGTCGTGGATAGCCACTGCTTTGAACGCTGTTGCGATTGCGTGACGTACGCGCGGATTGACCTTCGGGTCCCGGAATCCCACTGCTGCCTGGATAAGGAAAGCCTGCAGGACATGGACTCGTGCAATGGCGTGCAGGATGGGGAGGTGTTGCGTGCGAAAATCAATGACGGGCATCGGCTGCCCATCGTGGCCGAGGATCTTCCGTCGGAAGCTAAATTTGCTGGCGTTGTAGAGGGCAATTTTCAGAAGTGGGATGCACCCACTGGAAAGGAAAAGCGTCCCTACCGATACACGGTGGATAGTTGCCAGGAAATCATCGCGTTCGCTTCGCGACTTCTCGAGATCACCCAGCAAAGCGGACGAGGACAGCTGCACGCGGTTGAAGTAGGTCAAGGCGTGGTCTATGGGTTGGGCGCCCGTTCGGGGTGGGAGGGCTCTGCGAGGTCCTTCGTGAGTATCAAAGATCGGGGGTATTCCATCGGGTACGTACTTTGAGGTGATGCCCGTGCACATCTGAGTACCGTCTGAAAGGGGAACAAGGAATGGACGGACTCCTCTGTCCTCGCCCTCGACTATCAGTCGGGCAATGACCACAGCGATAGTGGGGAGGCCGTTGCGAGGGGTAGACGGTGGCATGCATCTGCGTGCAGGTCTTAGTACTAACTCGGGGGAAGCTTGGCTCGGGGTTGTTCACTTGGCAGCGGCCTTTGACGGTGTATGCAGCTCAAAGCCACCATTTGGAAGTAGAGTCGCTGTGGTTTCGAGATTCCGTGCGTCCAAGCCATGCCCGACCTCGGTAAGCATGAATTGTGCACTAGGAGCGGCCGATGAGTTGACTCAATCCAAAGATCAATCGAAGACAAGAGGGTGGGGCACGCACGAGATATCGAATTTCATCGCCTGCTGCACGATCACTGCCAGGTCAGGCCTTGTGGCAGCGAATGGAGCGACCGTGCCGACGAAAAGGTTATACTGGATGCTAATCAGGGTGACCGCGCCACCATCCATAGCACCGATCATGTCCGTGTGTAGCTTCCAGAAATTTGGGGTCAAGTACGCCACATCCTTCACCGTCAACTCTATTTCAGTCAGTCACGTTGCTCCAATATGGCGGCCTCGGGGGGTGAGTAGTACTATGTGCATCCGCCAACGCTCTTGCTCTTTGATATGTGAGTCGCGTTCGTTCCTCCAGAGTCAGTGAAAGTGGTGAAGGTTGCATCAGTGCAGACTGCGCCAATTCAAGCGTCGGTGAACGTTCGTGCCATATCTGGTTGTACAGTGAACGGCACTCTGATTTGACGACAGATTGGTCTGATTTCAACAGCGGCATGATGGCGCGGGTTGTGTCGATCGCTGCAGAACATTGTTTTCCAATGACATGCTCATCGCGGCAATGCGCATGCTTTATATTCGGCCTGGTGATTGAAAGTCCGAAAGTCTGGACCGACTTTGCTTGTACAATGTTTGCGGCTAAGCTGAAGGGACCCCACATCTCTGCAGACTAAAAAGCAAAAATAGGGTTAGCAAGCGGCCGGGAGGATCAGCTGCCCAAGGTTGGCCGGAATAGCCGACGCCCGCCCCTCAGATACGAACGCCATAGGTGTTCGCCAAGACACTTTTGCGCCACAAAGAATTTCTCCCAGCTGAAGAAGTGGCGGATATGCAAAGGCCTCGTGTCTGGCTGAATTCCTGTGGGGGCCCAATCTGACCTGTCGGCAAGGGAGTCAACGTATAAAATTGACTTCGCGTCAGCTCCGAGGAACATCGGACGGCAAACACACAGTGCGCGCAAACATGTTCGTCGCTGGTCTGGCAAATGTAGTGTCAGATCACTGGATCCTGGGAACCACCAGCCTGTTATTCTGCTATGTTAGTTGACTCCTCCGATCGGCCCCTTTCTCGCTCCTCCAGCGCCGGATCCTGACGCCTCTAAACAGACAGTGGGCTTGGTTTTGTACAACCTATACTTCAACCCTTTGGCGAAATTTCCGGGACCGTTCTTTGCAAGGATATCATCCTTGCCTGACTTTTACTGGTCGCTTACCGGGAAACGACACCTTTGGATTGCCCGCAATCATGAAATCTATGGCGATGTGGTTCGCTTCCGCCCCGATGGGCTGCTCTTCAAGACACCCGAGGCCTATCGCGACATCTTCAACGCCAGAGCCAATGTCAAGCGATCTCAGTTCTATGACATGATGACACGGCACAAGAATGATCAGAGCACTCTCACCGGCACCGATCCCGCTCTGCATGCTCGCAAACGACGAGTTCTGAACACGGTGTTTTCTGATAAATCCCTCCGCTCAATGGAGCCGCTGCTGGAGTTGCACGTGGCCCGTTGGTGTGAGCTTCTCGTCGACGAAGAAGGCACGGAATGGTCGCGACCTCGAAAGATGTCGGAAGTATGCGATTACTTGGTCTTGGATGTACTGTGTGATCTCTGCTTCGGACGAGCTGTGAACACGAAAGAACCCGGGGACAATGAGCATCGTCAGATTCCCCACATCATCGCGTTCTTCCTGCGCATACTATATCCGGTACGTCTACATCACGGTATGACGTATTGACACTATAGCTGATGTATTGAATCCAAACAGCTGGGCCACTGCCCCTGGCTCAACGCTCTCGTCTGGCTCAAGCCCCGCGGTCTCGACTGGGTGCTAAGCAAAATCACACCCCCCAACGTGCGCTTTCTCTACAACTTCGTCGACGAATTCCTCGCCCAGCGCCTCGAGCTCGAAGCCCAGGGGCAAACCCGGCCAGATATGCTGCACTACCTGCTCCGCGCCAAAGACCCGGCCACCGGCCTCCCCGGCTACACGCGCGCGGCCCTCGAAGCGGAAGCCATCATGCTGACAATCGCCGGCTCCGACACCACCTCGGTGATCATGGCCGGCTTCTTCTTCTACATCGTTCGCACGCCGCACGCCTACCACAAGCTCGTCACCGAAATCCGGTCCACCTTCCCTTCAGTGGATACAATCCGGGGCGGCCCCACCCTCCTCTCCGGGTGTCCGTACCTCCGCGCCTGCGTCGACGAGGCCATGCGCATCACCCCGGCCGGCTCGTCAGAGCTGCCCCGCACTGTTCTGTCTGGCGGAATCACCATCGCCGGCGAGTTCATCCCGGAGGGCACGACCGTCGGCGTCGCGCACTGGAGCTTCTATCGCAACGCGGATTGTTTCCCAGATCCGGACCTCTACCGTCCCGAGCGGTGGATCGTGGATCCCGCGGCGGGTGTCACCGCGGAGGACGTGGCGAGGGCAAGGGCGAGCTGTCTGCCCTTTTCGGCCGGGACGACGAGTTGTGCCGGGAAGAACTTTGCGTTGTTGGAGTTGTATTTGGTTATTGCGAGAACGGTGTGGTTGTTTGATTTGCGGTTGGTGGAGGGGGATCAGACGGGGGTCGTTAAGGGGTGTCGTGGTGGTGATGACAGAGGGGTGGAGAGGGAGAGGGAGGTCTTTGGGCTGTGGGACAGTTATATTAGTATTCGGAATGGGCCGATGGTGCAGTTTCGGCGAAGGGAGGTTGAATAGACTTCATATGCACATGACAGGGAGTCTATGTGCGTTTAGATAAGTGCTGAAAACATTCGAGGCGAAGCTTACTTTAGAATACCTTTAATGTAGTAGAATACTACGAATAATCTTTGAGTGCTGAGGATCTGATTTAGAGTTCCAATATCACGAAGAATGTTAAGTGCTGAGCCTGACAACAAAAGTCTAGCCATCAGACACGAGTGATTGGCGGTGTTGATTAGTACTTAGAAAATCTCCCAAGCTTCTAACTACCTAGTACGGTACACTAGGTACAAATAGTAGGCAATCTGCCGCTCGGGTCGCCTGTTGTACACAGACTGTATAGTTCGGCACAGGGCATGCGAAGCACCAACTACTCCACGTGCGTATGCCTACACAGTTGACTCCATATATCATGACAAGAAGGATCTACCCGAGCAAGGGAATTATATCGGGACTTCTGTGAGTGAGGCGATGTATGTAAGCGAAGTTAGTCCCTTTGTAAGAAACGATTTATATAAAAGTTTCTCCAAGCAAAGGCTGTTTAAATGAGGGCGATGATATGTGGCGAGTGAGATGGTTCGTTCCTACGGGTAAGGATTTCTGGTAGTGAGGTAGGTAGGTAGGTAGTTTTGGCAAGTGAGGCGGTTCCAGCAAGCAAGCAGGTAGGCAGGTCTTGTGGTTCTTGAACTGTTGAATGATAGTCCTGAAGGGTAGCTCCTACCGGGTGCTTGAAGAGGTGGTTTGGTTGCGTCTGAAGGCCGGCGCCGACATTTGGGGCGGTTGCAAATGGGCACGAGAAAGCCCCACCACCGTCTTGTGGGTGTTTGTGTTAGCTTTACGGAGAAGCTTTCGTATATGTTCTGGGAGGGGAATATGTCAATTATCAGCCCTGTAGATAGATACAGTGGCTGGCAAAGCGCGTCATGTGGTCGCAACGCATCAGTGGCATGAACGGCATTCGCTAGTCCCCCCCTCCTCGCGGCGAGTCTCACTAAGGCGTATTCTTGTATCTCCTCTTCTTCTGTCCGTTTGTTGACATCGGAAGAGCTAAGGTGATTACATGTGGGAATTCACCTCACTCAGAACTACTTGCAGTACTAGGAGCTAAGCAAGGTACCAAGCAGTGCACCTCTGGTAAGAAGTTCGGCCACGTGCTTGCAGACCCTGACTACGTCCTCTTCCTTGGCAAATTCGACCTCAGGGCCGTAGGATATGACGTCCTCGGACACTTCTGCAAAAGTAACAATGTCTGCGGTGACCAGCATGCCGTATAGGATACGGTTCTTTCCCTGGAGCTTGTTGTTGTGGTCCGCAATCGCCAGGACCATGGTGAAGTCGGCCTTCGCGACCTCTCCCCAGTCCGGTCTGGCGGTCACCACGAAAAAGGGACCGGGCTCCTCCGTCTCGGCGAGGTGGGTTATCTGAAGCATGGGCGTGGCGCACATACGCAGCCTCTGGGTGTCTGCGGGTCCGGATTGTTCGATTGTGGCAGTCATCGGCGTGTCATGGAGGCGAATCGCGGGCTCTGTGGGACAGGACGACGATGACGAAGAAGGAGAAGCAGCAGCAGCAGCAGGATCTGGGGCCGCCGCGCCGAGCTGGGGTGGTTCCTTTCTCTTCGACGGCGCTTCTTTATCCAGTCCTTGAAGGATGCGAGTACCGGTAGTGCAGCAAGCTTGGGCGAGCGCCGGCGTGATAAGTTACTCCGCCAGGAGCTCGATCATGGAGTGTGTGATTTGATTTTTCTTCATCCCACGGGTCGGCATGTTTTCCCCTGGACACAGTATAATGATGGTTTGATGGTCAGCTATGAGGGGTCTTCTTTCTTGCCAGAGGCTCGCTGTACCGATCTGGTTGACGACACAGGGGAGAGCTCTAGAACTCACACAACTCTTTTGGGAATTTCTTCGACGTGAAGACCGTAGCCCGCTCGTGGTTGTAGGTCGCGCTCCTCAGATTGAACCACTCCAAGACATCGTTCAAGGTGGCTCTGGGGCCTGCCGTGATCTATGGTCTCTGAGTCAGTTATCCCCCAGTACCTCAGAGTGAGGGATAGGAAGTTCCTACGTCTTTCTCTTTCACCGGCTGGGTGTAGTCATTCTGGGTCTCGCTGTCGGTGCCGTGGATAGCAGCATCCTTGGCGTTATTGGTGGGGTTCATGCCCTCGAGAGCATCGAGGCGGTCGAGGAGAGCACGCATCTCCTTCCTGATCTTTCTCAGCTTGGATGCCTGAGAGGCTGCCATGCTGGGCTCTGTCATGAGGATTACCGTCTGGATTGCTTCGCTGCTGCGTCAGTGAGATGAGTCTCTGGCGATAGAGCTTAGTGGACGGAGAGGTTGGTGTGGCAGAATGATGAAGAAAACACTTCGGTGGAGTAATACTCTGTCGGGTGTGATGTCGAGAAGTCAAGTGGGAAGGGTGGGTTGATCGCCGTGGGAAGATAGTTTTACTTGGAAAAAGAAATGGGGGGTGTTTGGCTGGAGATGGGTCTAGGTATGTGGTGAATATATCTTTGGTAAACAAAGCGGGCAACCTTCACTTGGAACACAACACAAGATGTTTACCCCTCAGTTCATGGCCTACCCAACTACCGCAGTTACAGCAAACACAGGAACATTATCTAGCAGGAGCTAGTAAGTTATACCGGTGACCAGCAACATCAATGTACAGTCCTATACAACGGAATCGATGCTAGCGATTGGACCATGTGCGTCTGGAATGTGCGGGTATGCACACTACTGTCTGTAACTTCAAGGTGTATATAGTGCTAAATGAATGGATCACTCACCAACCAGCCCGGCTAGCTCAATCGGCAGAGCGTGAGACTCTTAATCTCAAGGTTGCGGGTTCAACCCCCGCGTTGGGCTTTACCTTTTTCTTTTTGTTCTGTGGTGCCTGTCACTTGTCCTCTGCAAAGGGCGGTCGATTCCCGTTGCGACCCACATGGGTTGGGAGTGGATACAGGACCCACTATCAGAGGATTATAGGGTTGCTTTTTGCACGGTACGGAAGACCTCAAACTGAAAAGCATACAATCACGTAGTAAGTAGATTCAATTGGTCAGGAGTTCACTAAGCAATAGCCCCTTGCTCTTCCCCTCTCTCGCCAGACAAAACCTCATACATCCATAGGCATGACATTGCTCTCATTCCGAGTGCGCCTGTCGCACACCGGGAGAAGCTGGAGTAGTCCCAATCCTCTGTACCTGTACCCTACCAGCCCAGTCTAGACCATCTCGCCCTCCAGAGTGGCCACCAATCGCGACTGACACTGTCCAACAGTGCTTCAAAGTCGAGTACTCAAGAGGCTAACCTTATAGCCAAAGGGGGTGACTCAACCACCCAGGGCAGCAGCTCCAACATCCATGCCCGCAGGGCGTAGAAGTCATTGATATCGTCAATGCTGCAAGGTAGATTGTTGTCTGTGTAGAATCAGCATATGACCAAAATCCGGTTGACAATGAAATATGTATATTTGGGAGGGGAAGAGAGAGCAGCGAAGACTTACCTGCATCACAGCAAACCAACTGGGGCACCCGGTTCAAGAACCCTTCCCACTCCAGCCTCGCCTCTTCACTCTCCCACGGCTTTTCAGAAGCTGTCATACTCCACTTGTTAGTACTCCTTGATTCTAGGCTTAGGGGGCTGGGGTATCACTGACGAACATATGCCTGCGCATCGTCCCCCATCTCAGACACATCCAACAAGTGCGCATACTTCCCATACATTATCACCATCGCGTCCCGGAAGAAGTCACGCCGGGTTTCTAATCGCTCCTGAATGATGAGAAGTCTCTCGGGGCAGTCGGGGAGGATGCACATATATTCGTCTTCCCCATATAGGTGTTGGTGGTGGTCAGGGTCGCTATCGCTGGGGTAGTCACCGTCGCCGTCGTCACCGTCATCGTCGTCATCGTCGTCATCGTCGTCGTCGCCGCCGCCACCGTATTCCTCTTCGTCTTCGTCATATTCGTCATCCTCATATCCTCCTTCTTGTTCATTATCACCCTCATATTCTCCATCTTGTCCATCATCACCTCCACATTCCTCCCTTGGTTCATCCTCAACCTCATCGCGGCCGTGCTCAACATGTCTCAGATGAAGCAAAAACACCACCCGACCACCCACGTTAAAAGTCAGCCCCACAACCTGCACTGGATTTCTGGTGGGATACACTCCTCCTGCCGAGCCATCTCGATAACCATCATGTTGGCTCTGCCCTTCACCCTGGTCATCTCCGGTTCCGGCATCCACATGGTCATCGCCGGTTTCTGCTTCCACATGGTCATCGCCGGTTTCTGCATCCTCATCCGTATCACTGTAATCCTCATCACTTTCATGGCCATGCCGGTAGAAAATAGGTAGAGCAGTGCCCTTCCTCCACGTCCGTAGCGGCGGGGTCGCTTGGTTGATGACTTCGCCGGTGCGGATGGCTTCGTCCTGGTCGATGTCCTCTTCGTGTTCGAAGAGATCGGGGAAGACGGGGGCACACATTTTGGGTGGTGGGTGGAAGCTGTGAAGGCGGAGGAGACGGGCTTGTTGCGGTTTGGGGATAAGGGTGGAAGAGGGTTGTGCGTGATGGAGGATGGTTTTGATAGATGAGGGAGTTGGTCAGTAGATGGAGTTGTTGAGTAGATGAAGTTGTTGGGTAGATGGAGTTGATAAATGGGGAAGTTGATGGATTCTGGAGTTGGGAAATAGATAGAGCTGATGAATAGATGGAAGAAAGATGGAAGACCAGGAATGGAGCAAGAAGACGTTGCTGACTCCAGCACAACCCCATTGTGACTCACTGGGAATTACCCCAGACTTGCGCAATCCTTATGTACAGATTGAAGACGTTGTTCATTTTCCTTTTCTCGCGATGTCATTATGTCCTCAGAGAAGACCTGTGATGGATGCATGAGGTCGTCGCCAGTTAGGGCGGGTAACGAAGAATACCCCGTGAGCAGGGCCTGTCACTCTGATTCCCCCTGACATCACATCAAAGCCATTAGCACATTGTAGTGTAGCACTTCTTGCATATCGCTCTATAAAATGAATCTAAGCCTGAATGTATGGGACAAAGAACTATACCGACCACGAAGAAAGAAACGCACCGATAATTTTGACGATCCATGCGCGCCTTTGTTTTTAGTGCAACAGGCCGCAAGGCACATCTGGCATATCATTATGAGCTATCATTATGACTCTTTCAGTCCGCGGCAGCTATCATCGTTAACAACATATGCTTGGCTAATGTAGAATATAGCCGACAAATAGCTAACCCCGCGTAAAGCTTTGCCTTTGAAACGACCTGACATGAAAGAGTTGTTCTCAGTACATTCAGGAAATGAAAGGTATTCTTAATCTCCGAGCCTCTCAGCTAGGCCTGGTGGCAGCTGCATCTGATATCCTGCGTACAATGTTGTTATCTTCTGCTTTAGGTCTTTAAGAGAAGCGTTATTCACTCCGTTCGAGTTATTTCAGTTGATGAGGGTTCGAAGTTCCGACGCCGAGATATTATTCACCGTCGATTATGTTGTCAAGAACCCTTTGCTGTCTTAGCTCTTGGGTATAGAGATGGCTTGCCGACATCTCCGCACACGTCGCGTTGGCATTTTCCATGCCTTTTTTCATGGTAAGAAAGAATGGTGGACTAGGATCAAGCAACCCTTATTTCACGGGACGATTTGCCAGGGGTTGGATTCTTTTGCCGACGATCAATCGATCTAAGTTCTCATTTTCGTTATCGGGGTTGATATCCCAGCCCTTCTTTCCAAGCGTAATGTCCAACCCGCCTTGAGGCGGTTCTTATTATTGAACTTAGGAGACTGCATAACCAAGGCTTTGCTGATGACCTGGGTGCTTTGCCCAGACTGGTTAACTGATTTCAGCAGGCCTTTCCTTCTTATCGTTGCTGTCAGCCCTGTACCAAGGTTGCCGTTACCAGCAGTTACCTCTTTGGCCCACCATAAAACTCGAAAGCAATAGCATTGATTTTCGGTGTTGAGTAGTCCATTCAAAGAATCAGGACTGTCTCGCATTTGTCGTATGCGATGCTCTTTTTCTGCTGCTTGAGTCGTGTCCGGTCCAGACCGAACCCGGAAGTCTGCCACCGGGTTGATCCGTTCTTGGCCGTACCGATTATCTTCGGTCCGAAGGAATTGAGATACTGGTTTACCTTCTGCATATACGCAGTTCCCCCAGCCCCAGTGTGAGCAGGGTGCATCTGCTACTTCGCGATGGCGCTTTACCTTGATTTCTGCCCCGGCCTGCCTTTGTAGGGCCAGACAATCGCCCACAGATTATGTGCAGCCCCCCACTTCTGGACTGCGGATCACATCAAAAAGCCAGCTGACTTCGCTTCACCCTGTCTAGGCCTTGTACTCTGGTAGCCATTCGATGGCAGCGCCATCCCGCGTAATGCAGTATCAAGACCATGATTTGAGGGTCATGGTGGTTGGGATGTATAGTGCCGGTAGAGACCATGTCATCATCGTGATCAGCCGCGACGTTTCTGAATATAAAGACGTGGTGATAATCGAGGTCGGCAACCCATGCTATTCCAGTAATGCTCAGCTGGATAGGCGTACGATTTGTTGGACTTTCGGAAATTCTCTCCCTTGCAATGAGTGACCAGCGTAAAACGGGGTGGGCCGATGTTTAACTGCTCCTATAAGGCTCACACCGAACGTCGGTGACAACGATCACACTTACTATGATCGTCGAGCCAGATCTGAACTTCGATGGGTATCAGCTGGGTTTTTCTGATCATCGGCTGTCAAATTTAGCCTATCGTGCCTTCAAAGATAGGACAATTTGTTCTTCTGGATCGGTTTGGAGTGTGCCATCAGACGTGAAACCCATTGGCTGTCATTCCCGTAATCTCAGTAGCGAGCTGTGCAGAGGGTCTGTTGAAAAGAAACTTAATAATAGGGCGTTGAATTGGGATGGTTCAGGAGCTCCCCAGATTGTGACCGGGACTTAGGTTGTACAGTTCAATAGCATCAATCGCCCTTAGAGCTTGCCAGAACGCAGTCTCTGAGGGAGACTTCAGTGGCAGAAGAGTGAACCTTACCGGTAATCGGAGGCGAGATAGCGAAGTGTTGTCACCGATACGCTTCACAAACCAGGTCCTCTGGTAAATGATCAGAAAGCCGTAGCGGGCATGGTGATCGTCCATGTACCGCGCTAGCGGGTCTTCTCTGTACTCCACAATTCGATGTCTGGTATGTGGAACAGCCGCTGAGAGAGCCCGTATCACCATGCTATAAGACGGCTTCATCGTCGGGATAGAGCAGAAAACGGGCAGAATCGGAACAGGCGTGTTGAAAGAGTAAGACACAAAGAATGTAGAACGAAAGGTTTCAGCAACAGGATAGTCCAGAGAAAGGCAGATAGATCGGTGGTTCATTCACTTCGTTATTTGTGTGTGAATCTCCGCTTATGTGGTGAATTGTTCATGCTGATTCCTAATATATGTGAATATCATCATCCGGGAATGCGGCAGTACCATGCGGCAGGGCAGGCGGTCGCACGTTTTCGTTCACTATATAAAGATAACAGGAAGGTTAATGAGAACTCGAATCAAGAACACCCAGTTTGCTAATATCCAGGAAGAAAGTTAATATCTGCCTTCGAAAATGGATTCCTTCGCGAAAGATCAACTAGACCATCTACTTCAGCCCGACCCGGCTGACGATGGCGTCCATTCCAACCTTGACTGGGGTGATGCCACAGCGCTAATGGCGACCTTGACTGTGGCTTGCTCTAACAAAGGACCGAAATCGACGGCTAGATCCGAAAGCGAGATACGACAAGAAGCCGAAGAGAGATCCGAGACGATCTATACCTCTTATGACACCCTGCAAAAAATACTGGAGCGCCACGAGGCCACTATCTCGAAGAGATGGTTGAAGCGAACACGCCAGCAGAGACTCAAAGTCCTGCTCGAGGCTTGGCCAGATATGCCTGCCGTTCATCGTCCCGACCTCGATACCTGGCGTAAAGGGGCGTATAACCCTAAACGAGCGAGGCCCCCGCGGTGCCGTGACTGCTTTATGTGGCCATATATCAATCAGGAGGACCTGGTGAGCCCCAAAGCCCTGTTGTTGCTTCTCAACTCCCGAGGCCGTAATCCACCGTCAAGCTTTGCGGCGGCAGACATTGACGCGATGCAGTTTGGGCTGGTGAGCCGGGCGCTTGATCTGGACACCCTGCCTGATCATCAGATGGCTCTGAACGGGTTCGTTGACAACAATCGCCAGTATGGCGAGCTTGTCACCTGTCATGATGATCATGATAAAACGTTCGCGTCCTGGTCACTCAAGCAATTCATGCCCGGGGAAGGCCTTCTGGTTTTAAGAGCCCAAGCGAGATTGTTGACCTTTCTCGTGCAGTGCTGCCGCCAGCTACTTTCAGATATTCCCGTGGACAACTTCGACTCGTTCCCCATCCTTCCTCCGCCACTAACCCAATCGGAGACTGAGCTAAGCGGCTTTGAATCTCTGAGATTGATGGCCGCAGAAGCTCCCTATCGTGTGCCTGCACAACTCGACCTTAGTCGCATCGCGTCGCTCCTTGCAGCCCGCACCTCCGCGGCTGAAGACCACCAATGGTCCCTACGCGAAGACCCCGACTATTTCGCCAGCGTCGTGCTCGATATGGCTGAGCATGCCCCAGAAATGTTGAAGGATCTGCAGGGCCGCGACCATCCCGATTCAAGGGGCAGCCGGAAGAACATAATCTGGGCGCGGGTTTTGGCGTGCGTGGTTTGCGACGCCTTCTTGAAAGTCGAGACCTTTAACGAGCTGAGCCAGCAAGCTCGGGCCCTGGTATCCCTGCAGCACCAATATGCAAGCCAGATTTCACCATCCCAGAGTCTGCCCGAGGAGTTCTTGACGGCTTTGCTGCGATTTCGCCACGATCTGGGCAAGGCAGTCCACGATCCCCTGAAACTGCTCCGAATGACCTTCCGTTCCTCCCCGCCCTTCCGTCGATTCTTCATGCGCGCACCACCATCCGATCCGCTCTCTTCACAGTTTAAAGTTGAAGAAAGACCGGGGGTCAAACCCACGGCAGTGGAGAAGAAGTTGCTCTGGCTGCTTGGCAAGGCGTTCGATAACGGGATGGTGTTGGTACTGGCCGGGGTGCCGTTGCTCATGGATGAGCTCGAACGCCTGCTCGACAATGAGCCAGGGGCACGAGGTATGATCACCCCCTTTCTGGCAGGCGTCATCAGCGACCTCTCGATCCTTGCGCAGTGCCTCAAGCAATTGGAACTGTATCAGCCATGGGCCCGAACCTGGGTTCAGGATGGCATGGCACAAAAGCGGAAGTTCGAGGCAGACTACGACAAGGTAACAAGCCCATGGTATCGGATCGTTGCCGGGATCGATAAAGCGCTGCCTGTGACGATAGTCGCCAGTCGTGCCGTCGCTCTAGGAGACCCGTCTGGAGGAAAGTTCGCCTATCCGATCGACAAGCGCCGAACCAAGGAGCACGTGAAGACACTGCGGCAGGCGGAGGCCAGGCTGGATGCTTTCTGGGAGGTGATTGACAAGGTTATCGGGGCCAGGGTGCAAGGCACTGTATCGCAAAAGGTCTTTCCGTCCCAATCGCGAAGTCTGCACCGGACACCAGAATGGGAGGAGCCCTCACCTCGACCTCAGCCGCAGCTCGCGCCGCGGCCGAAAAACGAGGGTATCGATCCGTACCCCTCGTTTGAGGCTGTAGCACCGACCCGTGCCGAAGACAATAGCACAGCTCAGCCACCAAAGATCAAGGTCAAGACTCGCGGAACAGCACGGCCCGTCTCCACACAGGAGGAACACGACGCTGAAGCGCCCCCGGAACCCATCGGTGCAGAGATCCAGCCAAAGTTCGCCGTGGATGCGCGCTCCCTCAAGGTCTTTCGGGGTCTGTTTCATGACCCAGAGGTTACGTCGACGCCGGGTGAGATGCGTTGGACTGACTTTCTTCATGCCATCAGTTCGATCGGTTTCGCGAGCATCAAACTCTACGGCTCTGTCTGGTAGTTCCAGCCCACCGACATGAACTTTGACCGAAGCATCCAGTTCCATGAACCACACCCTCACGGAAAGTTGTCCTATACCGCCGCTCGGCGGATTGGTCGTCGGCTGACTAGGGCATATGGCTGGCATGGGGACATGTTTGTCTTGGCTGAGTGATTAGGATATGCTGTGCCATTTTTCAGGGCTTGGTTGCTGGTGTCAAGGTATATGAAGCCAGTTGTTTTGGTCCCTTTAGTTAGATTAATCTATTCGATATGATAGACGATTGAAGGATTTCCTGCGTGTTATTAGAGATGAATTAAGGAAAGTAAAGTTGAATACATACTATACTCCTCTTTGCCTCCAACGTACAAAAGGATTATTGATTTCTGCTTCAACATGCTCGGTTGACATTCGAATACACCCTTTGAAGCGACAGGACGGGTGTGTGCTTGGAAGGATGTATGCCTCAGGATGATGTGGATGAATGTCCAGTCATAGGTGGCTGTTGTGCCTTAATCTGACAGGGTTTTCCTCAGGACGCTAACTGCTGGTATGTGGCTTGAGGTTGCAAAAAGGCCTTCGTAATCGAAGTCTGATGAGCGGCGCCTAGTCGATGTCATCGAGGATAGCTGCGAGCACATCAGTTAGTGAGATGCTAATGCATAGGCACCATGGACAGTGGGGTACGATCTCAGCCTTTGGAATAACGTGTTGGTTCTAACGCATCATAAATAGCAGTCTGGCTAGATGCCAGAGTTTGAAGCTTAATTATGGGCTCGAGGAGTTGGAGGAGAGGAAAGAAGGATGTATATGGGGAAGAGGAAGAGAGGTGGGAAAAGTAAGAGCATGGGAGTAAGAGGAGAGTGAGAGATTTGTATCCACATAGCAAAATTGAATAGACATTATTAATTTAAGGTCTTATTCACTTATCTTATCATTTGTCAAAGAAGAGCTATCAATTGAATCTACTGTCTTGATTCACTGATCCTATTGTGCCATTGTCTCCTTTCCCCCCACCTTTTCTTCCATTTTCCAAGGCTGTGAATCGCTGGCTGTGGCATCGTGACTCACCCTAATCCATTGAGAGCCAATCTACATTTCTTCCAGCCTTTCAGCTTCCTTCTTCTTCATCCTCCATCTCCATCAACCTTCTCCTTTTCCATCCTCCACCCTTTCCAACAACCGATCCCTGCGAAGAAGGTCAGTTGTCTTTCAGAGTCTTTTTATTTTATATTTGTGTATCTGTGTAACTGAGATATGCTTGCCAAACCATACAAGCAGCCTCTAACTTCCCACAAACGAACACGAGACCGGACTGGCGCCCACAGGGCCCGGTGGCGAACGCCTGTTGCCCCCCCCCCCCCCCCGCCGACAAGAAAAACCGCGCGCGATGCTATCCTTGTTCGATCAAGAGCTGTGTAGTATCATTTACTCATACGAAACATTATAACGGTCCCTGCGATTCCACAAACCTTCCCGCATGCCGTGGGCACACTCATGATTTTTTAGGGCCAGCAAAGGAGAGTAGGGAACCTTGCTCTTCGTCGAGCTGCCCTCTACGGCGTTTTTCACCGGCTGCAGAGGATCAGCACCTGTCGTATTCGACCCCCTACACCGACAAATAGCCTCTGTCTAATCGCGAGCGGACGCGAATCCGCAAGCCTATTGTATAGTCTGTACCGTACATTGGCTAGTCGGATGATACGCAACTGGCCGTCCAACCCAGCTCTGTAAGGGTCCTCGTGTCTAGTGCTGACCGGTAACCACCGCCCGATCAGGCGTGTGGATAGAGACCGTTGCGGCCCCTCCAACGGAAGGGCGTTCCGCGACTGTATCAGCGGAGGAATTGGACAGAAGTGCAACAATTATTTGCACGTGAATCAGCCTCCACTCTTCATCTTTCACCCCTACACGCCGACTCTGCCCCCTGACCTTTACCTCTTCCTCCATAGAGCACCTCAATTTACCCTATGCCTCCAACACTTGTATCGTTAGACTGTCTCAAACATACGGCGAGCTGCAAGAAAGCTTTAGAAAACCCAAGGGCCCAAAGCACGTGGTCAATCGGGGACAGTGACCCGGACCCATCTCTACCACAAGAGAAGTGGCCGACTGCAACGAATCCCCAGCAGGTTTTGCCGGAGGAACGCCACTGGCCTCCTTTGGGCACCCGTCTCAGCGACGCGTGGGCGTTACTTGCCATCAACGAACTGTCTACTCCTCCCTCACGCGGAAGTACAGCCGGTTCGTTCCCAAAAAGCGCCTGCGGCACAGCGCATTGAGTACTGGGTTCCGCGGTTACGATCGCCTCTTTGCTTGAAAACCTTCTTGTCTGAAAGCATGACCGGAATTAACCCGACTGTTTCATCGTCATTTGAGAGATTGCTAGTGCGTTGGTGCACTACAAAGAACCCAAAAATGACGTTCACTACATGTATGTGGTCGATAAGAAGTCCAGAGTGCGAGACATGTCGCGTCAAGTACTGCTGGCTGGATCAGGTACGGTAAGCTCGTTCGGGTCCAATCACTGCAGAAGGAACAGACAATTAACATAACTGCAGCAAAAGTATCGTACACCTACGCACGCTATGCAGACAATTGCAAATAGACTAGGGGGTGGAATGTCAATCCAGACGATGAAAATGGGAACTTGGATCGATTGATAGTCGTTAATCGTACCACAGCCTGGAGATCCTATTGCCCAAGACGGAGCTCAATGCACACAACCCACAATATGTCTACGGGATCGAGGAACACATGAAAGATGCAAAGCCAGCCATGCGCAATTAGCTGCGGAGAGACTACATGAGCAAAAAGCCGTACCGACAAGCACCGCGAAACTGGATGAGTTAAGGCGAATATCTTCATTTGCCATGAGGCTCTGTTCAACTTACCAACTAATGAACAAGAGGGTATAGAAGTATCAGAGTCTTCCACATTGGAAGCAGGAAAGCCTCCCCACCCGAGACCCGGACAGGCCGATTGACTGCAACTATAGTCAAGAAGAGTCTACAAAAACTGGTTGATTCCTACTTAACTCGTGAAGAGTCTCACAAGTCTTGCGTCCCAATGACCTCATTGACGAGGCCCAGACGTCATACTTTAGCGACACCCAGGTAGAAGCAATCGAACGGTTTATAAAGCTTAAGTGATAGCTGGCAAACCCCTATGAGGACATCGAGTGGACATGCCAGAGAGCCTGGGTACGCTGTATGCTTTACCTATGCTGCTTGCTTGGGAATGGCGCAAGCATATCTACACCGAGAGATATTATTTAGGGCGTGGATTATTGTGTCGTGGCAAAGACAAAGGAGGTATAACTACAAAACCAGGAGTCCAACATGTATCCGCGCAGAATAGCAAGATAACAAACTGAATGCATTGGCCTCTACAGAGAATGTTATCCAAGCTAATAGAAAGTACTCTCTCCTGCGAAACAAGTCCTTAACAAGTCAAACTTCTTTTCTGAGCAAGGATTCTACGAAAGAATCTAAAGAGTCAGCTATCGGGCATCTCTACACCTGCATCCCTACGGGTCAGTGCTGCCGAGCAGAGGGTTAATCACCCGCTTCCAAACGCCCGGCGCACGTAACGCGACCCGGTCCAAGGGCGGCAGAATTACGGACGGGTGATGAGCCCAGAACAGGCTTTGCGTGATGACAACGAAGTCATGTTCCTGGTAGTGCCGGAGGAAAAAGCCGGCTTTCACCGTGCGACGAACCGACCGCACGGCTGGACCATCTGCCCAGAACATCGACGGATATACGCCGGGGAAGAGGAACCCGGAATGAACATAGGCCGCCACATGCTGCAGTCGAACAAAGTCCCCGGCCGGTATGCAACCCATGCCTCCAGGATCCGAAATGCGGTCGCGGGGCAAGTATACTTTGACGAGATTCCGATCATACACGAAGGAGGTCGGGGGCTGCTGGAGCAGCATCCGGCGCCAGCTGGCCTCGGGGCGGAGATAGGCCTTGTCGATCTCTTCCGATTCGATCAGCGGGAAGGCGGAGAAGTAGGCGGCACCTACTAAAGCGAGAAGAGGCGCGGGTGCAGAAAGTCGTGCCAGACCTTTTCCTCCACGAGGGGGTTCTTGGCTTTGGCCTGCCCGGGGACAGGATCGGCGGGACGGAAGAATAGTGCCTTCTGGATGCTGGGGGAGGATCGGATGAGGGCGTTCCACGCGCGACAGACTCGCGTCGAAAGGAGCAGGGTCTTCATGTCCAGGCCCAGCAGGATCATTTCGAGGATCTCGCGGATACGGAAGGCCCTGTGAGCCATTCGATGTGAATTCTGTATCAGATCGCTTGGGACGGGTTGGGAGATCGGTTCAAAGAGGCCCTTAGTCGGGGAGCTTGGATTGTCCATGGCGTCGCGAAGGGCATGCTAGTCGAGTTAGGGGAATGCCGTTGGCTTGATGGGGAGTTATACTATTTTACATTACTACAGGTGTTCAATGACTCAGATTGTGCGGAGTTTATGACATACTACTCTCATGCCCCCCGGAATTGTCTTCCGCAAAAGGTTGTAATGTAACCACCGTTCAAAGACCCGCCAAGTGTAATCGTAGAGCCAGCGCTAAGATGAAGGTTGCTTTGAAAATGCAAATTGTAGAAGAAGATCAAAAACAAACACAAAAGAAGATAATTATCAAGGATGGTCTAAGCATACAGGAGGACGATGAGGACTGGTATCATGTGGAGAAAAGCGCTACGCTCGAAGGGTTCTATGATACTAGGTAGTAATTATGTCTTTATGAATATCTTACACTCGTTACTATCTTGGAAGATTCGGTAAGATTGACAGATAACAATAATAGACATAAATTTATGCGGGAAGAAAACGTCTACAAGAATAGTAAGCATCGCTTAGAAGAATGCTTCACGGTAGTGATCACTATAGGTTCTTCTCATTCGATGGTCTCCATTTTCTCCAAAAATATCATTAACATTTCATAAACATAGTTCATAAATCCCGTGACGAACCCCAACCCTGTCTGTGTAATGTGATCCCCTATCCACAATCATTATCCTATCCGGGAAAAGGATTCGCTATACAGTAACCCATCAATGCATCCCCCTCACCAGAACCCATCATCTGGCCCCGGACCGAAGTCCGGCCCCGGGCCAAAATCCCCAGGCGGCGGGCCATCAAAGTCGTGCTCCAGATGCTCGATCCCCTCGCCCAGAAGCAATCCTCCCAGCAAGCCACCCCCGATTCCCAGGGCCGCGGCGCCGCCCATCCCCAGCCCCCGCTTTTTCTTCTTCTGCTCCGGCTGAGGCTGCGGTTGCTGCTGCATGGGCGGCTGAGCGTATTGCGCGGGATATTGGTTCGGGTAAGGGTTTTGATATTGGTTTGGATACGGGTTATTGTATTGGTTGGGGTACTGGTTGGGATACTGGTTGTAGGGGTTGGGTTGCGGAGGCGGGGTATTGTAGTTTTGGGGCGGGTACGGGTTGTTATTGTTGTTGTAGCCGTAACCCGGCTGCGGGGGATAGGGGCTTCGGCTGTCGCGGTTCGGTGGCCACGGGGAGCCTCTGTCATTGTTCGGGGTCCTGCGACCTGTGCTGGCATCGTAGCTGGGGGGTGGGCCGTTGGGAGGTGGTGCAGGGCCGTTAGGCTGAGCTGGTCGGTCGGGACGTTCCCATTGTGACTGTCCTGTGTGCAGATTGACATAGTACCTGTGGGATTGGGTTATTAGTATTCTGCGAGTATCTGGAAGCGCGAAGTTTGTTTGCGGCAAGGTGATCGCACCATTCCTGGTATCTGTCATCGAACTGAGGGCGCCAGCCCTCAGGCACACGAGGCATTGGTGGTGGTGGTGGCATTTTTTTTCTGATTGTGGAGTTCTGTGGTGAGATGAAACCGAGATGGTGGTGGGGTTCAGGCCGACAATATATACTGGGCGGAAAAGGGTTACTCCCTGCATGACATCATATTTCATGGCTGCCTAACCCGAGCCAAGAATATCGGCACGGTGCTTCCGCAAAGCTTATGCTGTTAGGGCGGCCGATCCCCTTACTGTTCCCCTTAGGGAGCAAATAGGTCATGTCTATGGAGACCCAGGCACCGATGTTCTTATCGCAGGAGACTTCCGCGGGATTCCGGAAATTCAGGAGACTGAGAATAACGCCTGGCGCATGGAGAGATATCTAGACTTTACTTCGTTCGTCACTAAGGTTCTATAGCCTTCCGGCATACCTCGTCTGAAGTATAGGCAGCGCCGTGGGGGTATATATTTCTCCCATTTCTGCCTCTGCAACATAGCAACAAAGTCTTGTCATACCTCAACCAGCATCAAGTCGTCCCATCCCACACACTATGTCAACCGAGACTCGTTACCAACCACCAGTAAGCTTCCTTTTGCGCCGTACCACGGTCCCACAAGTGGCTTAATTGACCATAACGTCCTAACACAGCCCGGACCGCCTCCGAACCACCCCGAGTACGGCGCACCGCCTACGGCACCGCCTTCGGCACCGCCACCGCCCGGTCCGCCCAACAACACTTATTACCCCCCGGGCTCGGGTTATCCCCCTGTCTGGGGCTATCCGGCTGGAGCTGCACCGCCACAGTCCATGCAGTACTCGGCTCCGCTGCCGCCGCAACAGCCTGCTCCAGCCACACAGAAAAACATAAGCGGAGAGGAGGAATGCTGCGCAGGGTTACTGTCAGCGTTCGCGTGCTGTTGCTGTCTGGATTTACTGTTGTAATTGCTGTCGAATTGAGAGGGTGGACGCTGCTTCGGGCAAGTGGGTCTTTTCGGTGGCTTGTCACCTTGTGGACATTTGCATCGAGGCGGCATATGCGAGGTGTCGATGACAGATGCGAGTAACTGAGAGCAACCATGTAATTTTACTAGTCAAAGACACATAGTGCATTAACGCGAGCTGCATAATATCAAGTGGCCGGATGGTGTAGTTGGTTATCACGTATCGTTAACACCGATAAGGTCCTGGGATCGAGCCCCAGTCTGGTCATTCTTTTTTCCCCTGGCTCTCTGAGGATAGGCGCGTCAAGTTGCCTCAGTCGCGACGGTTTTTTGCTGAATGGGAATGCAAAGAGATCTCGGTTATTGGCGAGAGATTCATATCCCAAAGTCAGTGCCCTCACTCGCATGGGCGTCTGCAATCCGTCAACCAACGCAGCTAGGGCCCTGCTCAGGTATCTGCAAATAAGACGTTTTTCAAGGGAGCGCCGACACTGCCCTCCACGACTTGTTTTCCTTGCAGGCCCACCCTTGTTAGTCCACCCTAGTCATAGTTTATTGCAACATCCTCGTAAGACCTTAGATTGTGTGATACTGAATATAGTTCCACATGCCCCTCCAGTCCGATATATCTTTGTGTGCAAGGCGCTGAGGGCGCTGGCGCGGTTGGCTTTGGGAATGTCGGGCGAGGTTGGGAACATGTAGTCGAGGAGGTGGATGTTGACGACGTTGGGGAGGCTGAGGGCGTCGGGCAGGTCGTACATTATGGCGATGATGGTTCGCTGTTGTGGATGGTGTATTGAAACGATGTTCTCTTCGATGACGGGAGGGGGGTGAGTGACAGATGATTATTCTGATCTTATTTGTTGTTTTGTTCGAAAATGTTGTGTAATAAATGGTTCGTGGTTTGATGAGGATCTTGTGATGGTGGTAGCCGGTTATTTAGAAGGTTCAATTGATTTGATTCTCTGCTCGGGGGTATAGCTGTATGGTGAAAGGACCCACCCGCTTGCAGAGATAGTGATGGTAAAGAAAGCCTTCAGGAGCTTTTATCTTATCATCAAAACATGTCTGTTTGGGCCTTGCTATTGGCAATCAGTGGTGAAAATGTCTGTTCCCGGTCGAGCATCTGAAACCTGTGAGGAACTTTTCGAGTTTGCTGCCTTGTTCCTCCTGTTTCTAGATCTACTCACCATGGTGATGCTCTCCTATTTCTCTCAATGAAACGGGCTACACTTTAGACTTTGGGCGCAGATATCTCATCGACTCTTAGCTCGTCGGACGATAGCCGGCAGACTAGAAGGTAAACACAGAGAATCAATACTGCGTGATGAAGCACTTGGATCTCAGAAGAGGTTTACAACGACATCCAGTAACTCCTACAAAGCTATTTATTCTAAATTACTGTGATCAAGGCAGAAGGATACTATGAGCGCCCCAGCACACCTTCACAAGAGTCCCGACGAGGTACTCCGGGTGAGTTGATTTAGATGGACCCAGCCAGATCTTAATGTTGATTTGTGAAAGGGATATTGAAATCAATATAACATAGTATAGTAGCCGGCTTATCCGAAACATATTCTGTTTTTACATTTTCTTTTGAGATTAAAAAAGTTCAATCTGTGTGATAACTCGAAAATATCAAGAGCAAAATAGACAATTTCATCAAAAAGCACACAGAGGGAAAGACTCACCACCATGATAGCAATCCATGCCTAGTGTCAAGTCGAAAGAGCTTTCCTGGCAGTATCACAAGCACATCAAACTACATTGTTCGCTCTGCCTGTGCAGGTAATCCACAAGGTCCCTGATCTACTCATCGTCGGCAACACCGGGAAGCCAGATAACCGTCAGCGCCAGTTCCAGAGCGAAAAACCCCGCAATCAAGAGATTGACCCACAGAATATTCATCACCAGCAAGGACCACGGATTGAGCAGCCACGCCGCCAGCTCCGGGTTCCCGATGAGCATCTCCACGTCACCCAGGGCGATCAGCGCCTCGGTGACGTTCAAAGGGGTCGACGTATTGCCCAGCGCAGTCTGCTGCTGGAGACGGTAGGCTCGGAGAACCAGCGGGAGCCGCTGGTCAGCCATGTAGTTCGACCACAGTTGTTTCGAGGCGATGCTCACGAGAAAGCTGCCGTAGATCAGCAAGAGTCGCGGGCCATGGGGCGTGTTGCGGGCCCAGCGACGGAGCGGGCCATGGGAGAAGTACCAGCTGCAGTAGGAGACGCTGCATGACATGCACAGAATGGCGAGGTCCTCCAGGGCGAGCATGGTGCTTGATAGTTCTTGACGAAGGGGTCGGGAAACCTGAGGCTGGACAAGGTCAGTGAAGCGGGCCTGTGAGCTGTGGTGGCGAGTGTTGTGTTTGCTATGACCCGTTGAGGTTACTATCACTGCATCCCAACATTGAGGCATGGTAATATATATAGGCCTTGTCGTTTAGAGATTGGGTATTCGCATGTAATGATCGGCAGGAGCAACAGCCGGAGAATATCGCTCTGGAGATAGATCAGAGAGGCCAGAGAGGAATATTTTCTGTCTATCTTTGTCTCTTATCTTGCTTTTTGCTTTGTCAAGATACACAGGTGTTTTCAGAGACGAAGAGCTTCGTTGATATTTGTAAGTTTGGGGGTTATCCTGGAATGTCTCATTTCAAATCCTCCCGATTCTCTTTGTCTTTGTAATTTCCTCTCCTTTTCAGCGGAATATGCCATGCCATTTGTAGAGACCTTAAACTTCCCGTTATAAAAACCTGAAATTAGAGTAGTACCTAGCCCTAGGAGATATATGAAAACCTGTTAGGCCGATACTTGCAAGACCTCTCCACTGGGCTAATGGATTAACAGGCCCCTTCAAACCAGAACGCTCTCTAAGAACCGTACCTATGAGCCTGATACAACCTATTAAACGTGCTGTGCCCAACCAAGAAAACTCATACTGTGTAGCCTTTACTGGCATTTGCGCTCTCACACGTGATACCCATCTTGCGAGAAACCCTTACATTCCCCGGGAGTCTCCCTCATTGTCCCTGCTCGCGGACCGGAAACAGATAGAGAAAACCTCCAGCTTGACGAATCCCTCCGTGCCCCGGATCCGCCCCAGCAGTTTCTCAAGTGCCAACGACTCCTTAAAATTTCTTTGCGCAGCAACATCATTGAACCCAAATACAGATAGGAAGATCGATGCTCTCTGGTCTAAAGGATCGCCCCTGACGGGGAAGTCCTTCTCCACGCCCCATCCGTAGCTCAGAGCTTCGATGCCCGAGACGTTTTCGATCTCATTATCCTGCCAGTCCTCGAGATGCGCAATGGCTGCGTCTGCTACAGTGGGTGGCCGATCCGACGCAAAGTACGCCAAGATGACCTGCGTGACGGCGGACTGCAGGGTGGCTGGCAGAGAGGGCGTGGCGGGAATGTGCTTGGTGAACCCGCCACGCGTCAAGATTTTCGGCAGGCTTTTGACAGCTTCTTGGCCCAGTCTATGGTACTGTTGTCAGAAAGGGAGCTGGGACGAATGGAGAGAGGCCTTTACTTACGTCTTAGCAAAGTTATGGTGGGCCTCTAGCGAATCCCAGTCGAAGAATGCCCAGAGGTAGGACGGATCTTCAGCCTCGAGGCCCCAGTATACGCAAAGTGGGCCCCCAGGTGCGGCAACAACATAGTTGTATAGGTTGCTCAGGATCTGGCCCTCTGGAGTGTCGTCGTCCATGACGTCGAGGGAAGGCTTGACGCCCATGCAGCCGATTTCAGTGACACGCATGGTGGGCATTCTCTGCGTTTCCGGGCGGAGTGTAGTGCTCTAGGGCTATGGGGGTCAGGGCAGAGCGGGAGAATCTCTGTTTGGAGAGTATAATAAAGAGCTTGGGCTTTGGTAGGAAAGGAGGGGTTGGACTGATGCTGGTAGATATTTTTTGACTGGAATTAGAGGTTTGTATAAGTGCATGATGACTACTTATAAAGTGAGGCTAGGCTGCCCCTAATTCCAACCAATGCCTGACTCGCTACTGCTGCCTTTGGCAAGGCAGCATAATTCCGACGGATGACGGAGAGCGTAAGAATCGAGGCGCCGTCAATCCTTGGCACACTACAAGACTATCGTCGATTTCCTCCACCGCGACTGCACCTCGGTCGTCAGGAATAAGGCCATATCACCTTTAAATCCCACAGACCATCTGCCTAGGCAAATAAATTATACGCAACAAAGGCGCTGGTGCGGGAGGGACAAGAAGACGGCTGCGAGAACTTTACTCGGGCATTGATCTTTGAACCGAGCAGAGTGGCAGGATGCCCCGTCCGTACTCCCTCAGATAGTTGCCCATTGACAGATCCATGGCGCAACGGATAAAGGTTAGCGAGCAGTACACGGCACCACGTTAAGCGGAAAGAGAGAGTGGAAGAACTGGAAGTATCTTACAGCTTTTGGCACCATTGGTTCTGAAGCCCATGTAAGCAGGTCGTTACTGAGTTTGTGAATGATTAGACGGCCGCAAAGATGAGAGGTGAGGACGCTTTGCGTGTATGTGGAGGGATCAGGGAGGGGCTCCTTGCTCACATCTCTGATGCTCCATCCTGGAGCCATTGCAGAATCTGGGTCGAATCGCTGATGGCAGCGATTGGAGTACTGGTCATGGACGAGATGGTCGAGGCGAAAGAGTCGAGATCGGTCCCCCGCAACCCTTCGACCAGCTCCCTCGCCTCCCGAACCGCTTCGAGATCGGCCCGCAGTTGACTCTGCTTGCTCTTCAATGCCGCGATCTCTTGGTTGACAGCCGCTAGACGCCACCTCGCCGCCGATGCGAATCATGAGGGCCTTGACATCCTTCCTTTCCGCCCTCCCTCCTCCCTTTTATAGCTACGGAGTACTCCGTACTGTACATATTTATGGCAAAGACAAAGCGAGCAAATAACGAACAAAAAGACATACAACAGAAGGGATTCGCTGGTGGTCACCCACCCAACTACTAACCTCCCGGCGTGTGGCTTAAGTACGGCTGAGCGGACGGGAAGCCCTGTTTTCCACACCCTGTGGTCGTATGTGCTTATCCTTGCTACTAAGTAAACTATATGCTACTTGTGAATTCGCACGCGCACTGTAACTACCAAGGAGAGGGGCTCGATATATGAGAAAAGAGCACGGGTGACAAGTGCGGTTGTCACTATGAATATGAATCCTCAAGGATCGGTTATTATACGATTTCTGTTTCGCCTGGCAACAAGGGCAACTTCGTCACCGGCCCGCCGTCCGGCTATTAGCAATCATGCGATCCACATGAGTGTTCTACCACAAAGTTGAGGTTTAGAACTTTCATACGTCGATGGTTGTGGCGTGGTAGTATCACAGAATGACGGATAAAGTTTACGTAGTATAATAGCTTGATCTCATCTTGCGTGGATGAGTGGACTACTTTTGTTCAGTGTGGTACTGCACAAGCTGCATGCAGTCTGTAAGGATGAACAGAGCAATCGTCATTTGTGTACCACAACCAACGGCCCAAGGATAATCAATTCCTTGCAAACAGATAGATTCAGCGCCCTGCATTGATTGACATCATAAAGATTGCTCTAACACTGCACCCCGATCGACCCTTCACTATGAAGAACTGATAAATATTTACTACTTTCTATCGGGCTTACCATGTGACCTTTTTGTAAATATCTACACAGCATACTTCTTCTCACTGACAAGAAACTCATACATCTATACCAGCACTTCCGAGACAGTTCTCGTGCTTTCTTCAGACTATTTCGATCTAAATTGGCAAATATTAATACCATGGAGCTCACATTTCCCGTCTTCCGGGGGTCCGCCGACCAGAGGATCATCCCAGACACGACTACTCGAAAACTCGGAGCCAACGAGGTGTACATCGAAACCACCCATTCAGGGCTCTGCGGTACGGACGAACACTTCATGCACAATGGTCTGGTGCTTGGACACGAAGGGATCGGGATCGTAAAGCACGTCGGCCCGGAGGTTACCTCCGTTCGCGTTGGAGACCGAGTCGGATTTGGATATGTGCGAAAGACGTGCCGTGCCTGTAACCAGTGTCTCACGGGTATGAACATCAGCTCCCACCCCTGGTTGATATCGCGGTTTGCTCGTTACCATATCCTTCCTCCCTGGGCAGCACGACTAACGCAACGACCCGACACAGGCTGGTCCCAGTACTGCCCCGACGGACGCATGTACCTGACCCACGACCACGACCTCGGATCCCTCAGCCATGGCACAGTCTGGGACGCCGACTGGGTCTTCCCCATCCCCGACGGGTACGATTCCGCCTACGCCGCGCCGCTGCTCTGCGCCGGCGCCACCGTCTGGACCTGTCTGACGCAGTACAACATCCGACCTGGCCAGCGCGTCGGCGTCCTCGGCATCGGCGGCGTCGGCCATATGGCCATCAAGCTGGCAAACGCAATCGGATGCCACGTGGTGGTGTTCTCGCGCACCGAGGGCAAACGACAGGAAGCCCTGGATTTTGGGGCCGCGGAATTCCACCTCTTTGGAGGTGATCATGCGCTTGATGAGACGTTTGAGAGGGTACAGCATCTTCTGGTCTGCGGGCAACCGGGGAAGAGTCTGGATACGTGAGTTTCTTCCCTTGCTTTGTTGACACATACCGACACGCAGAAGGCTTTTCCGCTGACTGGCTATCCGTATCCCATCCAACCAGGTTGGTCCCGTTGATGGCCAATAACAGCACTATGTTCTTTATCACGGCGGCCCTGGAACCGATCGAGGTCTCTTTTGTGCCCCTGATCCAGCGCGGGATATGCATTCAGTCGCCCTTTATTGCCTCCCGCCAGGTCGTGCTGGATCTGCTGGGGTTTGCCGCTCGGAAGAAGATCTACCCAACCATCATGGAGTTTCCGCTGACACAGGCGGGGATAAAAGAAGCGATGCAGATGCTCAAGAGTGGGAAGATACGGTACAGGGCTGTTTTGCATCGTTGAAGTGTGCTGGCATAGCTTTTCATTCTTTCTCATTCCAATCCGGACTAGGGCAAGGGGTGCTTTAGTTGACGCTCGTTGGGTCTTTACACCGGCTACTGTAATATGCGTTTTTGCCAGGTGGAAGCCGGTCTTACAGATTAAACGGAATAGTAGTATGATTGTCAGATTTGTAGGTGCGATATCCGGCTCATTTCTTCTCTAATTCTAGATAGGAGTGGCACGTTTCACTGGGCAATACAGGGAACAACTTGAAGGATCAGAAGTCAAGGGGTGGATAAGAGACAAATCCTCCGGGTAGAGATATATCGCGCGTGAATAACTACCATTCAACTTAACCATACCCAATGAGATATTAGCACGGATGAAATGCCTAGATGATGGGAATGAAAGGTACTGTCGGCCGTCCGCGTAGACGTGGAGGCCAAGAGGAACGTACGCGCAGAGCTCTCAAACTTGTTTCATGCAGGACAATTTACCTACGTCTAGAGACAAACATACAATTCATCTACAAGGGAGTCCTGACCACGATACAAACGTAGACTGTTTACATGCTGATGCAGAATGATGCCTTATATCAGCTCTTGATAACCTCCTCCGGGTCTCATTGTCGAGGGGATAGTGAACTGCGAGGTCAAACAATGGGCTCGCTCTAGTTGCGCTATCGATCATTACCATAAGACTGGATGGCGTGCTGTACTTGCTTCAGATTTTCCAGGCATGCTCTATCGGCCCATGGCGGGAATAAGAACCTGTTCATGGCAGCAGAACTATTGACATCATACTCTGGGTCAAGTGGGCTCCTTCAGTCATGCTGCAGCCAATTGAGGACGTCGGGGTACTCTCCCGATAAACATTCCTCTCAGCGCCAACCATGCGATAGACATCCATGCAGACAAGCGGGAATGCTTCTGCAGACACGTCATGCTCCACTCCCTTGGGTCGCATCGTGGACATGCTGAACTTCGTCACCGTCATGCGACCGCGATCAGATCAAAGGACCCACTGCGAGCGGACGCAGACTGATTCCTGGCCTTGAAGAGCACTTTACCGCTGGAATAAGTGGGAGTGTAATCAAGGTTAGACCACTGTGCACAGCTCAACGCATTGTCTTCCCTATTCCGGCAGATCAGTAAGAGGCATCGAGCAACGTCGTACCGCATGGGCAGCAAGATTTCAAGACCCCGCCTCTTTTGACATCTGTAAGATCCTCTGAGAAACCTTGAATAATTACGTCTGGGCCAACTCGCGGCTTCGAAGTCAAGGCCTTATGCAAGGCGGTGGCAGCCGTAGATCCTGGACCAAACGTAACCTGTCAACATTCCAATTGACATCACAGTCGTCTAGCCCTGGCTTACGCCGTAGCACAATAAGCAGCCTTCGTGGGTCTATATAAGCAGCCCTTGCAGAATGGGCGCAACACTGTTTAGACGAAATCAAGCGCAAGTCTATCATAGGTCAAGAGAAGAAGATCTTCCAAGACACTACAGACCATTCCTCTTCTTCTTTGGTAATATACGACAGGAAATAACCCAAAGGAGAGATGGCCTACTTGGACCTGCAGGGTGTAGCATGGATTACCGGAGCAGCATCAGGTTTGGGCAATTTAGCTTATTCCCCCCTTGAGTTCCACGGCTAATGCTCCAGATCAGGTATCGGACGCAGCGCCACGCTGGCATTTGCTCATCATGGTATTGACGGTATGGCGTTGATCGACATCGATGCGGCCGGCCTGGAGGAAACGCGCCAGCTCGTGACAGGAAAACACCCTGACCTGAAGATTCTGACCATGGCGGTTGACATCGCCGACGAGGCGGCTGTTCAGCGGGCCGTCGACGAGACCGTGCAAAGGTTTGGCCGGATTGACGTTGGTCTGAACGATGCTGCGCTAGGAGATTCTGTTCTGGCAACGCATGAGCTGGAGGTCGAAGAGTACATGAGGATCTTCCGGACTGATGAGCTCGGCCCTAACCCAGTGTGTTGAGATCCATTGCCACAGCGAGCTCCAGGGATAACTAAACCAATTCGTGCCTGTTTTCTTGTCGACGAAATACTGGGGAGAAAAACGGAGGCTCGTTTCAGCTTTTCTATCCACACCTTGATCGGTGACTAGACGAAGGGTAAGTGGCATACGTACGCTGGAGCAGGTCTCGTCATGGACGGTATTCTGCAGAGCGGCGCGGAGGAGGCTGTAGTACTTTCGCTCGCTATTTGCATCCAACTCCACCGCTGACGCCTTGTTTTGGATGATCGGGGCGATTACCGAGATCACCAGGTCCACATGGCTGGTAGGGCATGACTCAATCAATATGTTCAAGACGGCCTCGAAAGTATAGGCGGGGGGCGGGCGGTAAGGGATCCTGTGTAAAAGTCTAAAAGAGGGGAGAACTTACTTTTCGATAGAGAATAAAGTCGACGTGTGCGCGCGTCCCGAATTAGGACCCAGGATGTAGAAGAAATTCGGAAAGCCGTGCATCGCGACAGACTCAAACGCCAACCTGGAACCTAGTTCCTGCCAATGCTGCTGGCGGGATATACCTTCGCGGCTATAGAGCGGGGTGTCATACTGTGTCAAGCTGAAGCCGGTGGCGAGGATCTGAGTGGACTGATGTTAGATGCTGCTTTTTCAGGGCTTCTTTTTGGAACGGTTGGGCCGGGGATGAGGACGGCCAGGTATAACACCAATGGTTTAACATACTATGACATCAGTAGATATCTGATCACCGGACTGGGTTCTGATCGAGGTTGGTAGGATCTCGACAACTGGGTCGTCGGTAAGGCGGATGTTATCTCGCTGTAGGCAGGGCAAATACCCTTGGTCGAAGACGCGCCTCCATGATTTGGAATCTTTCAGCTTAGCAGAGATCATTTCCTTTTTGTTTTTCCTTCATTTGATTCTTCTCAATCCGTGGCGTCTGCTGCCGTGGTCGCTCACCTTGCACCCAAACTCGTATGAGGGGTTTAACAGATCCCATTATCGACCTAGCCCCATCATGAGTATTTGTGCGCTACGAGGCTAGATGCCCGCAGGGATTGTCATACGAGGTGCGGTCGATTGGACATAGTTCAAACTGCGTTGTACGGATTTCTGGCGGGCTCTGCTTCCCCAACGGGTCTTGTTAAACTGGGGCCATGCTGTCTCCATGTATAAGAACATGAGCGCGCGGAGGAGCCACAGCAGTCCTGGGACATAGCAAAGAAGCCTGCGCCATAATGGAGGGATGTCATGGTTCTTGGTAGGGACCAGGTAGTGGGGTGTCTGGGATTCTACAACGCTAGCATGTGCTTCATGATAAGCGTGCAGCCTCGCATGACAGGCAGAATGGGAACATACCCTCATGAAATGTGTAATGGTCTTGACTTCATCAATGATTGCTGGTACCAGCTGTACGAACGAGCCTTGAGGCGTCAATACCGTCTCGTGCAACAAGAAAGGAAAAACCAACAGCACAAAATGAGAAGAGACTCACTCCCATTGCCGATGACGGCGACGTGCTTATATCGGAGGTCGATGTCCGACCTCCACTGAGCAGTGTGTACAATCGGACCCCTGAATGTTTCGACGCCTGGCATCGTGAAAGGATGAGGATTGACCACCCCGCCAACGGCGGAGATCAAAATACGGCAGGCTTGCGTGAAATGCCGGCCAGTCTGCAGGTCCTCGAATTGCAGGAGCCAGGTCTCGGTATCCTCCTTCCAGGTGGCACATTTCCACTCCACGTTCCCAACGAATTGACGGTTCACTCCATAAGTCCGGGCCACGTCAGAAATGTAGTCCAAAGCCTCGGACTGTTGAGGGAACAATTTTGTGAACGAAGGATTCTTCGCAAAGGAGAGGCTGTAGCTTATTGCGGGGATATCTACACTGCAGCCTGGGTCTAGCCGTAAAGATTAGTACCGTGCCTTGTGGACCGGTGAACTGCTAACAAATGTGTCAAAGCAGCAGGGTTTGGTGGTGAACAAACATCTGTTGGACCACCAGGTACCTCCGATCCCAGAGCAGCGGTCGTAGATACAGTAGTCTTCCAGATCATAGTTGCGTTTCAGTTGACATCCCATAGCCACTCCGGAAAACCCGGCGCCGATGATGATGACCGTTGTAGCCGGTTTGGACGGGAGAGCCATGGTGAATCTAGTAGTCTCAGCGTGAATAAAGCTTGCTTGATCTTTTCAGATCCCAACCCCGAATTGCCCCCGGCCCAGTTTTATCTTTCTCGCATACATCCACAGGGTGCCCATCTCCCGATTACCAAAGTTGAAGTCAATGACGAATTTATCTGAAACTAAGAAGGGCGCAGGGAAACCCGGAAGCTCTCCTAGCGTCATTCCGCCACAACTCCTTTGACGAGAAACGAAACATCCTATTCCGAGTCAGATCGTCAGAATCACGTCTAGAATCAAAACCCGCCAGTAATACCACTATGTCTACTGAAGCCATGCACTTGGACCAGTGGCGAACCATTCAAGCTCTGGCCCCCCTCACAGAGTCCAAGGTATACAGGGGCACGTGGAAGAAACACATTTTCGCCTCGCCCTTCGAGAAAGTCGAAGGGTCCATCTCAACTCAGTTCCTGGACCCCCTCAACTCTACATCCTGGTCCAAGAAGACGTCGATGGGCCTGACGACCAGCGTGAGCCCGACGGGCCAGCCGAAGATGATAACGCGCCTTTCCTGCGACGAGCCCCCGCTCGACCCAACCCAAGCTACTCCCTGGCAAATGGCCAGCTTGATTGTCCGTTGGACAATGTCAGTGACGCTGACGACTCCGAGAATTCTTTATCAAGCGTTACGCCTGCACTTCTCCGGGAAGTTGTTGATGAGGTCGCGGCCAGCTATTCGACCGGGGAGCGAGTCGCGGCGTGCCACCAGGGGAGAGAGGTACGTTTCGTGGTTTAGGGTTAGCTCAGCGACCATCGCTCCTAACTATTTTTCTCGGATTTTCCACTATATATCTAGGGTCCTAGAGTGGTTCTTCCGCCAGTACCTGATTGAATGTGTTGCTGCCTACCCCAAGCCACTCGAGGTGGTATACACTGCTCCTGCAGCCCTTTTACCCGACTCGCTGCATCTGCACTCACCTTCATATCGCACGGATCTCGAAAATGCTCAGCGTCTTGCAATCCAGCCCCTGGACCCAGGCTTCTATTTCCGCGTCATGAGCTACCGGGATGCAGGAGAAGGTGTCTCGAGCGAAGCAACCCCCAAGGGCTTTGATGCAGATGCACACTCCGCGCCCCTCTATGTCTCTGATACTGATCTGCTCGACACGTTAATCGCCTTCCACCCCTGCGATCACCAAAAGGGTATCGCTGCCGCCAGCACTTTCTGGCGCGGATGGTCGGGGCGATCGTTCATGGGTCGCTTCGTCTGTGCGCGGCTGCCTCTGCGTTCGCAGCTTGTGTACGGAGGCGCGCTGTGGCGGGCAAGGGCGGAGGGCCTGGCGTGTGGCTACCCGAGTCTATTAGGGGTATATGATTGTCTCGGGAGAGGGGCCTTGCAATGGAGCTTCTTCCAGGTGGGTATGCATGTTTGTCGGCTGGTACCCCCGGGTCCAGGGGAGGAGACACTCAAGTTGGGTAGTTTGTTGGGGGTCTATGCTGTGCTGACCTTTGGTTGGGATTCTTTGCTATCAATCGCTCTTTCAACACTCCAGACGTGAGCAGTACCTGGTTTGTTGAGGTTTGATCTGAGAGAAAGACTTTTGTCGAATTTCTGTTCCCATGTCTCATCTCTATCCTACTGTTCGGGCAATGGAGTCCTATCGCTCCGAAGACGCATATCCCGTATGATTGATAGCAGGCAGTGATAGGTTTTAAGGGTGAGCCCGGGAAATAGATACGTCGAGGCTAGGTGAACAAACCGCAATGACTTATCTGCATGCGTCCAAGAACCTGCGGGCCAGTTTTTGTCTGCTTTGCCCAGTTGCGCAGTGGACTGTCAGTTGCGGTGGGATTAATCTCCGGCCTCCTGACGCTGTACTCGCGGGGAAGCTCATGGATCGGAGTAAACGCGAAAAACACATATGGGTCCTACTAGCCTATGCTGTATGGTAGTATGAAACCCCCTGCAAGGCCTGTGTACTGGGTAAATGTCTCAGCACCTGTCTAGCCAGCTTGCTGAAAGCAAATGATCGAGGCTAAACGCGGCTCGAGCCAAGAAATAACCAGATGCCCCGAGACCGGATCCTAGCACTTCAAGGAGGTCACATCGCCCATCACATCCACAAGTGATGACGCCTCTGAGAGGTGGAGAAGGCTTGTTGATTCCTCTACGTGAGGCTATCGGAGAGAACTAGCTAAGGCAGCCGGGGTGGGCGGTGAGCGGGCACCTCAGGCACCAAGGCCCCAGGGCCGCCGTCAACAAGTAACAATAACGAGAGCCAACTAGCTATGGAAAAGAATTTGTATCACTAGAACAGACAGTTACTATGTCAGCCGACTTGGTAGTTTAGAACTAACCACTTATGAGCATTGATGATTGATTAGGCACTCTACAGTAATTGCTGTCCAGAGATAACATCTTCAACATTCCGTCGCGGTGATGCGACTGCCACCCAGAACCTAGGACAGTTGCAACCCATTTTGACATTGTGGCTAAGCCTCCCTGTATTTCCAATTCTCATCATCTGATTCTCCGCCCAGAAAGGATAATTCCGGGAGGAAGAGCCAACACTTGTTCTGGAACACGAGATGCATGCGCGTTACCGTCGTACAGAGATCCGGGCTTGCACGGCGGCCTCGCACGGATGGAACCATCCAGAATAGCAATACATCGTATAATTCGTGAAAGGAGTGTACCCTGGTCCAGTGTTCGGCGAGAATTTACATTCTGCCTTTGGGTGACAGGTTGCAAATATAGTCAGCAGAATGCTGGAATCTCGTGATTGACCCGGTGATGACTTACTCGTTCGTATCCCGTTTCCGCATTTCAACCAGCATAGCCCCGGAAGCCACAAGTCACGACCATCAGACGATGAGATAAGCTCGAGGAAAGTATGGGTTTCCCTGCTCGAGATAGTGACTGCCGTCCAGTTTGAGAAATATGTGAAGGGCTTCACTTCACCGATGTAAAATCGCATGGATGGATTGGCAGCCTGATCAGGGGAATACTTTACTTATGAGCATCCCATACCGCAGTTCGGCGATGGGAGATCTATGGGCGAGCATAGAATTTTCATAGACCTACGATGTCTATCTCATCTTCTCCTATTGTCATTGTCTGGCTACTGCTAATGATAGCAGCCAGAGAGACGATTTCCACTCCAACAGGTCGTCGCTCGCAGGACTGCCGCTGTCTGCCAAATGACCCCTGCTGGCCTTCCTCCCACGAGTGGAATGCGTTCAACCGCACCGTTAACGGGCATCTGGTCCGGATCCGACCAGTTGGTTCGGTCTGCCATGGTAGAGACTACGACCCAGTGGGATGCGCTTTCGCCAGAAACTCCACGCATGACTCGCTTTGGCGCATCGCCGAAGCAGGCAAGCACATTCTTCCATAGCTTCTACTACTGCATAGCGAATTAACATGGAATGAGGCGTATCCATTAACACAGCAATCCTCTGCAGGCGCACTCCAATCAGTCACCTGGGAAACCGAGCGATACGACAACGGAAGCTGCTTCGTCGACACCCCCCGAACCATTCCCTGCAGCCAGGGCCGAATCCCTCTGTACGGGATACTGGCGCACTCCGCCCAGGACATTCAGAAAGCGGTACGGTTCGCACGCGAACACAACCTGCACGTTGCAATCCGCAACACGGGCCACGACGGGATCGGCCGATCGAGTGGGCTGGGCTCCTTCCAGATCAACGTGAGCCTTCTGAAGAAGATGGACTTCGCGTCAGACTTCATTCCACAGGGTGGAGGGACGTCTCGTGGGTCGGCGCTCACCCTCGGGGCCGGGGTGTTAGGGCTCGAAGCCCTAGCCGCCGGCAAGAAGGAAGGCGTGAATATGGTGACCGGCACTTGTAGTTCTGTCGCGGCATCGGGCGGGTTTGTGCAGGGCGGCGGACTGGGATTCCTGGGGCCTGCGTATGGGATTGGGTCGGATAATGTGCTGGAGTTTGAGGTTGTTACTGCTGAGGTGCCTTCCCGCCTACCCCTTGTTTCTAGATTCATGGTGCTGTTGCTGTGCGTGATTGCTAACCACTGTTTACATGCTAGGGCGATCTGGTCGTGGCGAATGAGTACCAGAACGAAGACCTCTTCTGGGCCCTGCGCGGAGGAGGCGGGGGCACGTTCGGAGTGGTACTCCGCACCACGATCCGCACGTACCCCGACGTCCCAGCCGTGCATTTCCTCCTGACGGCCGATCTTCCCCGGCAACAGAATGGAACCACTGGCAGTGGGGATCAAGCTATCTGGGCCATCACCGCCGAGCTCACCAACCTGCTGCCCGCGCTGAAGCGCCTGGACAACAAGACCAGCGCCATCATCGTGCCGCGATTCCTGGAGGATCGCGCGGTGCTGGAGGCTCACGTGCTCTTCGTCAACACCAGCGACCCGGGTCCAATCGAACAACGCCTCGACACGATGCATGATGCTCTCGAGGCTCAGGGTCTATCCTCGGCGTACACTTCCGAATTGACTGTTTACCCGGAGATGTCCACTTGGCTCAACATCCCGCGCCAGCTTAACGGGGGCGGCTACGGACTCGTCGAAGGATCGGTGCTGATCTCTGAAGATCTCTTCTTCTCTCCCAATGGGACCTCTCATATATTGAACGTGCTGTCCCATCTGGAGTACACAGTGGGAGACTCAGTGGAGATCCTGATGTCAGTCGGTGGGCAAGTCAAAGCCAATAAGCACGTCATCGACAGCGCCTTGCTCCCTGGGTGGCGCGAGGCTGAGCTGTTGCTGACGATTCGACGGACGCTGCCACCGACATCCTTGACGAAGACGATGGTCAATAGTCAATTGCCGTTTGTACGGGCTCTGCAGGTACCGTCGCTAGGGGTATACTACAATGTTGTCGATATCGAGCAGCCGGACTCCCGGCGAGCATTTTGGGGGGACAACTACGAACGGCTGTATGCGATCAAGCAGAGGTGGGACCCCGATGGGTTGTTTATTGTGCGGATGGGAGTTGGGAGTGAGGATTGGGATGAGGAGGGGATCTGTCGGGTGTAGATTGTTGTGTGGTGGTTGGGCTTGATTACGAGATGTTCTGAACTGATATGGACGATGACGCAGGTTCTGTGACACGACGCTTGCCGATTCACTCCTCTGTATTTCCCAACGCAGGGCAGTAGACTAGATGCGGACATGTCAAACACTAGGTTGACTAAGCTTCCTATGATCTGAGTATTTTTGTAGCTAGAATTACTTAGGCCTCCAGTCATGAAGTCTCTCTGTTGTGAGTCACGATTTCAAGCGCAGTCTATCTCGTGAAGGATGTTCCACAGCTTGCCATAAAAATATTAACCGAAGTCATTGCTCGAAGTGATACAATCAGTTGGTGATGAAAAGGCACTTTCTGGGAGACCCTCGGACGCATTGGGGCTCTAGAATTAAGCCCTTCCATTTAATGAAGGCAGGCTGTAGCTAGGAAAAATGAATCCTGGGATTCCTTTTCTATTACTGATGGCGAAAGCATAACACACAAAGTTAATGAATTCTAGCCAAATTTAGCAAATCCGATGCGGCAACGAAGTACTACAGAATCGAAGTGCATTCTTCATTAAAGCATATAACCGAAAGTACACACATATCCAGCTGAAAGGTAACAATCCAGACTGCAATTAGTAACGCAACGCTCAACCATCCACCCTTCCAACCATCCTCGGCGCTCAAAGGCTTCGGTAATACACGGTAGTATACGGCCCCTTCTTAGGGGAATAGGAGAACGAGAGCCAGACCTGGATATCCGTTGTCTTCTCCAAGTCGCGAGTCGGGCTGCGTGCAAGACGATGTCAGTACGTATTTCACGTCTCTTACCAGCAGTATCAAGGTACCACCAATAGCCAACAGACAGTACCCAAAGAAAAGAAAAGGATAACTCACAAGCAAGCGACCATATTCTCCCGATACACGCGCGCCTGCTGCGCCCACCCCAGCCGCTCAAAGAACGCGACCACCGCGTCGATGACCGCATCCTCCGTCATGCCAAACAGCGGGAAGTACACCTTGGGCACGGGCCAGGGGTCGCCAGGGTGGATCTCGTAGTTGACGATCAGGAACTGCTGGTCGTAGTAGAATTGTGGCTTGGAGGTAGTAGAACTACTAGTAGCAATCATCCTGGCTGGATCGGGAGTCACGACCGACCCGCGCTCACCCGCCTTCGGCGCACAGGCAAACGGCAGATGATACCCCTCGCGGACCTGGAGGATCGACCACAGCTCGTGCAGGATCTTCAGCCCCTTCTCGATGCCAGGACAGTCGCGCTCCCGCAGCCTCCCACCCAGCGTCCACAGCTCCGCCAGTCGGTCCGTATTCACGATGTAGTCGTGGATGTAGAACTTGAAGCGGGTGCGCGCGAGATCCACCAGGTCGCAGCCGAACTGGATCATGCCGCGCGGGTGGAAGGAGGTCGGGGACGCGGGTATCATCGCGTCCGGGGTGCCCTGCTCCTCGTCCAGGAAGGCCTGAATGGGCTGCATGCCTGCGTCGAAACGGCTGGCGGCGCCCTGGTCCACCTTGCGGACGGCGTCGAGGGCCAGCGTCGACGCCGGCGTGGCCGTCGCCATAGATTTGCCGACGACGAAGGTGTACAGCTTGACGGTCATCTTGCCCTCCTTGCGTAGGTCCAGGGCGATGCCGCTCTGGGTTCTGAAGACCGGCGGCAAGGGGCTTTTCGTGGACAGCAAGTGGTCCTCTTCCTTTTTGTTCAGGGTGAGGTCGCTGACGAGTTGCTGGTAGAGCTGGAGGTCGAGATCGATGCCGTCGACCTGAGCGTATCGGGCGAGCACCTCGGGGGTGGAGAGTCGGTTGAACGGGTCTTTGCCGGGGACCCCGGCGAGGTAGTTCAAGGGGAGGAACGCCAGGCGGATAATGCAGCCTGACTCCTGAAAGTTCTGGCTGAACTCGAGGTTGAAGACGCCCCGGTAGAGGTTGGGGCGCGGGTTGGCCGGAGATGGACCCAGCGCGGGAACGACATGCTGGGCGAAGAAGGCCAGGTACTGGTACTGTTTGTGGATCTCATAGTCGGCGTTGTGCAGCATTCGGGCGAGAACGGGCGCCGCGCGGTGCCACCAGTCGTGCTCATCCTGGGTGTGGAAGAGTAGGGACTGACTGAGAGAGATGTATGGAGATGGCGCGGTGGGTAGATTGCCTTGCGCCATGGTTGCCATGCTGTGGAAGTATGCTACGGAGTTGAGTATAATCGATATATGTTGACAGATCGCACGATGCGGGTCACGGATTTGTATGTTGTGCGGCAGATATGAAGCAGTTTATACCATCTACGCACAGCCAGATACTTCCAGTCTGAAGCATTAATCTTCAGCTCCATCTCACGATATCATGAGTGTCATCGGTCTGCCTGAGCTTACCCTGTTCTCTTGCCAAGCGTAGTAATTTATCCTCGTGAACGGGCCAGCCAATGGTGCTTCCATATAAACGAGTTGAAAGATTGGGCTGGCTGGGTCGACTCAGCTCTCGGAGTATTCACTCAGCTTCCTGGACCTTATGGGGATATCATCGTCCTGCCAAGCGCATCTACCACGATAGGGCTCCCCGAATAAATGTTTCCATGCAACCACGACAGAATATGCAAGATAGAAAAGGGTAATAGCAGGAAGAACGAGTAATTCCAAAGAGAAAAGGAGCGGTATGACATTGTATGCAGGGTCTCAGGGCACCCCACGTGTAGGTAGAAGTCAGGGTATGGCAGGGCAATGGCATACGAATCTAACGGAAGCAACGAGTGTCAAATAGCGATCGGAATGGCCGAGCTGAGATGACACAATTCTTCCGGACAATATTCCACCGTGTCCATCGTGTCAGGCCATCTATTTCGAATCGGGCCACGTTTTCATATTGCTTTTTGCATCCAGTCAACATACGTCGCACCGCTCGTATATATGTACCCCTCTGCCTCCCAACACGTTTTGCAGACCCTTGATCCCTTTCACTCGAGCATTCTCATGTTGACGTTGCACACACTCGGTTCTTGATCCGACTCTAGTCAGTCGTGAAACGGGATCTCGTGTGAGCTGAGTGGATCAATATGACGATGACGAGGAGAGAAGCGATGCTGCGAACCATGTTGCGATAACCCGCAAGCTTAAACCCTCTCAACATTCCTCACAACCTCGTCGATTGCTTTAGCGACGTATTCGACGTTCTTGGTGCTCACTTTCCTCGCCAAAATTAGAACATACGTGGGAGCTAAGGGTCGCAAGACGTGCTCGTGTTCGGACAGGAGAGGTCACTCGGGCGCAGTGTAACTTACAGCCACTGATCGATATCCTCCCAGATTTCAGCAAGTAGATGTGGTATTTTATCTTCGAGGCGGGGTCAGGCCCGTGTAGCAGAACATGTCGTTCTACAAGGTACAGGAAGTTAGTCAGAGCTCGTGTGTCGGGATAAATCAAGATCGGGACTCAAACCAGTTCAACGATATGCCGCCACGAGCCTGGTGCATCGAGCCGGATCAGCTCATCGTATAAGGCTTGTCGCATGGCTGTCAGACGCTGACTCATGGTCCTCAGGTTGCTTTTCCACTGCACGTTCATTCCAGCATTAGACAATATCGTCTTGACAAGTCTACTGCCCGCTGTGGGAGCGACGGAATACTCGCTGCGGATGAGATGGCAAAGGTTGTTGACGATGACATCAGGGGCATTCCGTGTCCCTTTCCCAAGAACATAATGGAACGCGCCGACTCGCTGCCCGTACAGGCCAAAGTTCTTGGACAGACTTTGTGCAACGCAGAAGTCTATGTTGGGCTTCTCGGCCAGGAAGTGCCGAATCGGCCAGCTGTCCTTGTACGCAGATCCAGAGACCAGACCCTGGTACGCAGAATCAAAGAAAGGGAACAGACGCTTGGACTCGACCAAGTTTGCCAGGGCTTTCCATTGCTCTTTGCTGGGATCCACCCCGGTCGGGTTGTGGGCGCAGGCTTGGAGAAGGATAACATCGTGCTCCTGCGCCTCGGATTCGAGAGTGGACATCATCCCCGCGAAATCGAGGGAACGAGTGGAAGACGAGTAGTAAAGATAGCTCTTGCAGGGGACGCCGACCAGCTCCCAGATTCTCTGGTGATTGTCCCACGAGGGATCCGAGAGCCAGACGGCTCGGGGCTTCAGGTGTGATGCCAGGAATAGGGCCCCGAGGTGATTCGCACCAGTGCCTGCGATGGTCTGCACGGAGGCGATGCGCGATTTGATTGCATTTTGCTTCTCGCTATATGAGGAGTGGCTGCTGAAGCCAAATAGCAAGTCCCTGGCCAGCTCAAGGAAGGTTACGTCGCCTTGAATGGACGTGTATTCATGCCGAGATCGGTCGACCTCTGCCAAGTGACGCTTCTCGGCTTCCTGTACAACTGGCAGAGGCCAAGGCTCGTTGTTGTCCGTGCGATAGGCTCCTAGACTGAGATTCACCTTGCGTGGGCTATCGTCCTTGGCGTAGGCGCGATTCAGGTCGAAGATCTCGTCCGGGGGCATTGGCGTTAGGCAGGGTAGCATGCTCATTGTCGCTGTTTGACACATCCTGTTATGCGTCGCGGTTGAGTCTTGCCTCGTTGAGTGGAGATGATTTCTTTGGAGATAGGTTCAGATCAATGGCATCGGAAGGCCAGGTCACCAATGGATACGTGTTGTTTAAATATCCTAGGCAGAGGAGGGACCAGCGTGAGCTAGCATTTGATATGTGTGAAAGTCTTATATTCAATTAAAGCACAATTTGTGAACACAAATTATGTTCTATCCTACCATCCGCTTGTGCAGGGGCTCTAGCAAAACAGTTTACAGTTTGTGTCGGTGGCAGAAGGTCCATATCCAGCATTGAATTGCAGGCAGAAAGATTCATCTATACAGTTGTATGCATATCCATTCTATAACCGTGGCCTTCTCCCGCCTCTAGTTGCACAATAGCCCGCCTAACCTGATGCCGCTTTTAGTGAGCTTGTGATATACTAGAAGTGGTAGTAGGTAATGCTACAAATGACTAAAGCAACCTTCACGTAAACAAAAAGCCCCCTGCTGATGACAACAGCGTTGCCGTTTTTTGGTGGCCAACACAACACCTGAGATTCGAATTCTGTTAAGCGAATACATTCCATTTCCTTCCCAGACACTACAAAACTAGCACGTTTACCAGACACGATGCTCGTGTTCTGACGCTCTTGCTAGTCATCGCAAACGAAAAGTGTTACAGGATATAGGTGAATGGGTTCTTCACAGTGCTGAGAGTCCTGCGATGCGGGGTCGTATTACCTGCCCAGATCGCAAAGGCACGGTCTGGATTCTGACTCCGGGGTTTGTCACCACGTTCGAAGCCACTCGCGGTGGTTGAGACTGGTGAGACCTTGTTTTCAGCGCTCCAGGTTGTGGGTATCGGTTTTCCTATTAATCTATATCTACGGGCTATAAATAGCTACATTGGGTTTAATAATAACCCTGCTGATGTAACAAGTTGGCCATCTATGAGAGCCTGTCATACGGCAGTCTTTTCTCTTAGCTTTCATGTCCAAGTTCCTTACCCATGACAATATCCATCCTACTTTGGGAGACTTTACGTCCAGTCCTGATCTTGTGTAGCTCACAAGGTAGAGAACCTCTTACGGAGGGGTCAAGTACATCGCAGAGCCGCACATACAACACCCACACCCGGGATTAGATATCGCTGGATCACACAGCCGGAGTTGAGCAACTCCGTAAGTACATGCTGTCGCTGACGGAAGGTAAGCTTTACGGTGCTGGGGTACCCCTGACTTCTCCATATTGATGCTTACAATTTATACGAGAGTCTCTTCGTCGTACGATGTTACCGGGTTCACTTGAAGACTTCATTGACCGAATGTGGCTATCTGCCAATTGACTACATATATCCCGACGATTCACTGGCGAAGTATGGTTTTGCAGGGTTCTCGAGGAACGCACGGAAGAATTTCTCGTATGTGCTCACAAGTTGGTGTCACATCGGGTTCTGCTAGACAAATTGCTTGAGATAGACATATAATTCAGGCTAAGTGGCAAGTATCATGCGCAGGGAGACACCCTGCAACTTTTACGGAGGAGGTTACACACGTTGGGCTGGTGCTAAATCAGGTTCATTCTCAGAGTATAATCCACGACGCTGAGTGTGGAGGCGCACAACATGACAGCGGCGAATCCCGGACACAACACCCTACCAACAACTGAGCCGGACGAGATCAAATTTTACTCTCCATTGCATGTCGCAATCTGGCAACCCTCTTCCCCCCCAAGCCACCCTCAGAAGGCATTGATGGGCAGGTGCTCTACAACCCTCCGCTCCGCAATCCGCCATCCCTCCGCGCCCTTCACCAGACGATCATCGTAGTACCCATAGATCCTCCGCGGTGTCCTGCCAGGTTCCCCCGGGAAAGAATGTATGCCGATGGCGTAGGTACGGGCGGTAGCCGTGACGGGACTTTGCAACTGGATGACCTGCGTGCCCGAGCAATGGTACGTCGTGACGCCCTGGAAGTGTGCTTCCATTAGGCCCTTCAACCCGTCGATGCCTTGGAGTGTGCCCACAGGCGGTGGGTAGTAAATCACGGCGTCTGGTGTGAAGGCTTCGCTCAACAGGCGGGGATCGGCTTGATCCAGGGCCAGTGGCCAGTGGGCGATGGCATTGCGAATGAGGTCGTGATCGGAGACGGACATGGTGCCTCAGTAGCAGCACTTAGCAGACTGGTGAAGAGGGTGAGGCTGTGAAGAGATGCCAGAAAATAGTATCACTATCGCCACCTTTAGGCGGGCTAAATGCCTCTAACTCGTCCTGCTCTGACCGCTATTCTTATATCATTTCTCACCGTGGTGCACGATTCAGACAGCCGCGTGACTCTTCTCTGACCGAGTCGTGTGCAGCATCCAACCAACTCGGGATACTCGGATACTCGCAATCAAATGGTTGCACATGCGGCTGAAATGGTCGTAACATCGGGGCTTGTTGGTCTTTCGATAGTGTGGATTTGTAATCGAATACGATAGAAGCCTTGTCTTTGTGCTTCTAGAGGTAACATCACGAGAATTCTTAGGGAAGAATACCCTTGTACCCAGACGTCATGGCGATGTCTAGTATGTAGAAGTTCCAATGGGGTTGCGGATATCGGCTTGTTATGCGTATGTACCAAGGTATATCAAGGATTCAAATTCCACCGATGTGCACTTGGCATAGTTTCTTTCTTGACGCTCCACCTTTATCATTGTTCGTGCAAAAGCTTGGCTAGCAGAGTTTCTTTTTAGCCCGTCTCCAATCCAAGGACTATTCACAATCTAACAAATCAACCAATTGAAGCGCTTAAGTAAGCACCTATCCTAGGTTTAACCTCATCATGCAGTCTAGCTAATGATTTAGTATTATTCCTCAGCGATCATGATACAGACACTTCAAGAAGCTTTGCAGACCGCGGCCGCCAGCCCGGATGGCGGGGCACTGTTCATCTACCCGCTTGGGAACCCAGACGAGCCGGTGGAGATATCCTATACCCGGCTGCTACATCTAGCACGGCAGGCCGGTTCTGCTCTCCAATTCCAACCGCGTTCCATCGTCCTGCTGCATTTCGATAACCACTGGGACCGGGTACTATGGCTCTGGGCGTCACTGTTGGCCGGGTATATTCCCGTGATGTCGACGCCCTTCCCCGACAACACCAACCGACGGCTGGCCCACTTGGAACATCTGTCTGAGCTCCTTAGCTCGCCAGCATGCTTGACCTCGACCAGAATGCTGCCTGCATTTGAGGGTCAAGAGTCGATTGTGCCGACCTGTGTTGACAGGCTGCACGTTGAAGACAGCAATATACACATCTCGGATGATGCAGTTAGGGCTACTGCCAAAAGCCCTCATCCGGATGCGACTGCCGTGCTGATGCTCACGTCCGGAAGTTCAGGGAGCTGCAAAGCGGTTGCCCTCACCCACGAGCAGATCACTGCGGCCGTCGCTGGCAAACATGGTATCATGCCCATCGCTCCGTCCACGACGTTTCTGAGCTGGGTCGGACTGGACCACGTGGCCGGGCTGGTCGAGATCCACCTCCAAGCCATTTTCACAGGACACAGTCAAGTCCTCGTCGAGGCACCAGACGTCCTGATGAGCCCTGGACACTTGCTCAGCCTTGTCGAGCGACATCGCGTGGCCTGGACATTCGCTCCGAACTTCTTCCTCGCGCGAATGCATGCGACGCTGCAGCAGCAGACGCCGGAGGGGAAAGGCCACGCAAGTGGTGGCTGGAACCTGAGCTCTCTGCAATACCTCACCTCCGGCGGGGAGGCCAACACCACCCAGATGTGCGAAGAAGTCGCCACCCTGCTTTCTCGCTACGGGGCACCACGCAATGTGATTGTCCCCGGCTTCGGAATGACGGAGACCTGCGCTGGTGCAATTTTCAATACCCAATTCCCCGAGCACGACAAGCGTCATGGCTACGCGATCGCGTCACTGGGGCGGTGCATGGCTGGCATTCAGGTTCGAGTCACCGATGGCACCGGGACCAACATCCCCGTTCCAGCGGGGGCACTGGGCCATCTGGAAGTGAGCGGTCCGGTGGTGTTCCGGAGCTATTTCCGCAACGAAGAGGCTACACGATCATCCTTTACGAGTGACGGGTGGTTCGTCACGGGGGATCTGGCGATGAGCGACGAGACCGAGGATGGTCATCTGCTCCTCAAAGGCCGGGTGAAAGATGTCCTCAACATCAATGCCGTCAAATATAACCCGACCGATATCGAGGCCGGGCTGTATGAGGCGGTCCCGCAGCTGACCTACGGCTCGGCGTGCTGCTTCTCCTCCCTTCCACCGGACGGACACACGGAGGAGATTGTCATCGTCTACCTCCCCTCGTACGAGCGCGAGGATCTCGAGGCCCATGTGCGGACGGTCCTCCCCATTCGACAAGCATGCCTCGAGATGACCGGTTCTCGGCCCCAAGTCCTGCCGCTGAGTCGCACCAGCGTCGCGAAGTCCTCGCTGGGCAAGCTGCCACGCGCACAGATCAAGGCGGCATATGAGCGGGGCGAGTACCGGAGCGCAGCCGAGGAAAGCGCGGAGCGATTCGCCCTGTTCCGCAAGACCACGGATCAAGAACCCCGGGACGAGTTGGAAGGCCAACTGCTCGCCATCTTCATCCACTCGGTCGACCACGCCACGGAAGACGAGTTCGGGGTGCAGACCTCCATCCTCGATCTGGGGATCACCTCGATCGAGCTGATCAAGCTGAAGCGCCACGTGGAGAGGGACCTCACCTGCATCCAGCCGGGCAGCATCCCACTGAGCACGCTGATGCGCAACACCACCGTCCGGGATCTGGCCAGCGTGCTCCGCGGGTCCACCTCCGCCTCCACCTCCTCAGCACCAAACTCAACATACGACCCCGTCGTCCCCCTGCAACGCCGCGGATCCAAAACCCCCATCTGGCTCGCCCATCCCGGCATCGGCGAGGTGATGGCCTTCATGAACCTAGCCAAGTATTTCACCGACCGGCCCATTTACGCGCTGCGCGCAGCGGGGTTCAACGACGGCGAAGCCCTGGCAACCTCCCTGCCCGTCATGGTCCAGCAATACCACGGCGCAATCAAACGCCACCAGCCGCAGGGCCCCTACGCGCTAGCCGGGTATTCCTACGGGGGGATGGTGGCATTCGAGCTAGCCAAGCTGCTGGAGCGCACCGGCGACACGGTCAGATTCCTGGGCTCGTTCAACCTGCCGCCGCACATCAAGGAGCGGATGCGCCAGGTGGACTGGAAGACGGCGCTGCTGGATCTGTGCAATTTCCTGGAGTTGCTATCGGAGCGTCAACGCGTGGATCTGGGTAGCGAGTGCCAGGAGATCTCGGACAGGGACAAGATCCTGGCTCGTGTGCTGGGAGAGATCGATCAGGAGCGCTTCGCAGAGCTGGCCCTCTCCCCCGCCGCGTTGGCGAACTGGGCCCAGGTCGGGCAGAACCTGCACCATCTCGCGGTGGATTACGAGCCCTTGCCGTCGGTGGCGAGCATGGACGTCTTCTACTGTAATCCGATCAAGGAGGTGGCGTCGGGCAAGGAGCAGTGGTTCAACGAGTTCATCAGTCTCTGGCGGGACTTTACGCGGTCGGAGCCGCGGTTCCATGAGGTGCAGGGGTCGCATTATACGATGATCTCGCCGGAGAATGTGTTTAGGTTCCAGAAGACGATGAAGGCGGCGCTGAGTGCGAGGGGGCTTTGAGGGGCTGTGTGGTGGATGCGGACTTGGTGGCTGGTGGTTTGAGTGAATGCGTTCCCAGAGTGAACATGGTACTAAGTACAGTGCATTCTTTGATTTCGTCTGATGCGTGTTTGGTTTCTCTGGTTGACGGGTTCAATCCTGTTCGGCTTGGGACATTATAGATTGCAGATGTCTATCCGTATTATGACTCATCCCAATACATTTCGTTTGTTTAGGTCGAGCTAGTAGGGCAAGATTGCCACCTGTTGTAGTCATTTCCACTAATGCAGTCTGCACAGGCCCAGTCGCTAGTGGACGAGTACATTCAGAGAAGATACATAAAGATCTTGATACCTAAGACAGGATGTAAAGAAAGTCCTGAATACAGTATACTCCGCAGGTGCATAGCATCACAGCCAAACAATCCGACAAACACCCTTCATCTAGTAATCAAATTGCTCTCTGATGATAAATTAATGAGTCGCCGAGGGCGGAGGATGACATCAACGATCTCATCTCCTGGGCTGTACCGTGGTGTCGGATAAGATAGGGTGGGCGATAAGATAAGCTCTCCACAGCCGAGATCTCCGAGCCGGGGAGGACGCGCGACGTCATCGAGTGTTTACCCCGCCTGCTGGAATCCGGATTTCCCGTTCAGTTACTGCACTCAGTAAAACTGAACATACGCCCATTAGTCATCGTCCCTGCATCAGTGCATCTCCCACTGTCTCGGAGAAATCTTCCTTGTTCTGGGAAACATACACCAGGACAGCCCACCTAGAGTCCACACATTCTCTGCCCCCCCCCAAAAAAATGGGTCTGACAGGCACCTCCCAGACCTGGGCAGCCAAGCTACTCCGCGGCGTCGGCCGCGCGGCGATGGGCACCCTCACGCGCTCGCACCCAGACGAAACGGCGAAATGGCCATCGCGCGACGCGGGCCGCACGATCAAGGTGCACATCTACCGGCCGTCCCCGGACACCCAGCCCACGACAGCCAGCCCCAGCCCCAGCCCCGTGCTGATCAACATGTGCGGCAGCGGGTTCATCCTGGCCGGCCACGGCACGGACGACGAGTACTGCCGGTTCATCGCCACGCACACGGGGTACACGGTGGTGGACGTGCAGTACCGGCTGGCGCCGGAGCACCCGTTCCCGGCGGCGTTCCACGACGTGGAGGACGTGATCCAGCACGTCCAGCAGGAGCCGGCGACCTTCGACGTGGGCCGCGTGGCGCTCTCCGGCTTCAGCGCGGGGGCCAACCTGGCGCTGGCCGTGTCGGCGGTGCGCGACTTCCCGCCGGAGGCCGCCATCCACGCCACGATCGCCTTCTACCCCTCGTGCGACCTGGCCGAGGACTTCGCCGACAAGGCCGCCCCGGACGACGGCACCCGCCTCAAGATGCCCGCCGGCCTGTCGCGGTTCTTCCATCGCTGCTACTTCCCGGACGGCGACGGCGACGCCGACGACCCCCGCATCTCGCCCGCCTTCGCGGCCCCCGAGCGCTTCCCCCGCAACCTGGCCGCCATCACCGCCGCGCAGGATCCCTACGCGCCGGAGATGGAGCGCATCGCCGCGGCGGTCGAGGCGCTGCCCGGCCGGAATGTCGTGCTCAAGCGCATGGAGCACTGTCCGCATGGGTGGGACAAGCGGGCCAAGGAGGGCACGACGGGGGCGGCGGCCAAGCAGGAGGCGTACGAACTGGTGGCGCAGTTCTTGAATTCGATATGAGACACTGCGCATTGGGATTGTGACTTTTGGCTTTGTTATTTGTGGATATTGTAGATTCTCGGGTGCACCGTACAGGGTTTTTGAGCGAGCGTGGAATGTGGAATGTTCTCACTTTGGTGAGCTGTTAGACTTGGGGTGATACACAGTATGGATTTGTGGACGTTACTCGATGTGCTTCTTACCCGAGGGTAGTTCCGGCCTTGCAGCAGAAGGCTTGATGGTTGTGTACCGTGGGTCATCACCTGTAAATGGAGAGGTGGTTCATGCCAGTGACACCTAATTATGCTCCTACTGGGCGCAGCCTCCCGCGTCACACATGCAACTATACATTACCGGGTTCATTCGCTGTTTGTGGCCACAAAATGCCTCTAGCCTGGTAGCAGCAGCAGCAGCAGCAACAGCAGACCAACGAACACCTTGCACCAATCTTTCCCAAGAATGGCTAGACGTCGCTCATGTCCTTAGACTTTGTCTCCCTTTGCCGATAGACACGGACGTTGTTCCACAGCGGGAACGAGAAGAATCGCGAGCAGCGCTGACGATAGAGGCGGGTTACACGGACATGGTCAGCATCTACCCAAAGTATCTCTCAGTAGAGGCGTCCACTCGTGCTAAAGGGTCATCGACCCCTATTGCCCTTGACTGAATTAAATTACCTTCATCAAGCTGGTGCTGTAGCACACTGACGTCCGATCTATGAGCCTCTGAGTTGCGCAATACATGGGATGTGCGCTCCGTTCGGGACTCGCACTATAGTCACCCCAACACAGCAGAATAGAGTCGTTGAGATCAAAGAGAAAGAAATCCCGATGGGTATGGTTCGTAGGCCCATTAGGTCGGGACCACGATCTGCTCCGTGCCTTCCTTGCCTTGACTCAGATTCCCTGTAGCCTCGGTGACCGACGCGCGCCCCCCGCAGAAAGTCAGGCCAAGCGCAACGCCTCCACTACGGAGGGTATAAGAGCACTAACCATTGTCCCTTGGGCAGGATTCATCGGTTCTCGAGGCACGACTATATCATGAGGTGCATTATAGCTGTTTGCGCCGGGGTGGGCAATTGCGCGAGGCTGACGCAATGGAGAGATTGCTGATCATCGAATTGTCTCATTGGGGGTAACCCTTGTCAATTATTCTAAAGGTAGTGGGGTCTCCGATGCTACAAAAAAGACGTGACTGTTGATATAATTGACCTGTAGCACTAGCCTGCCATTAAGGAACACCCCATCGTCTCTCTGTCCCTGGTGCTATGACGTATGCAGGGAAGCCTGATCTCGCTGGACCAGACTGTGCAGAGGGAGGACTGAGAACTGGGAGTTCCCCCGCCGCGCAATGCCTGTGCGGTATGCATTGTACTAAACACAGCTTGCTAGGACAACCGATGCTTTAGGGGTTCCCAATGACAGGGTTCGCGCACACGACCTCTCCCACAAGTGAAGAATGAGCGGCAACTGCGGGATAAACTGCGGAGTACAGTTCTCCCTAAGCCAGCGCAGTAGACTGACTTCTCGATATAAGGCCAACTAGCTCCAGCCCACACATTGGATTTATCTTGCAGCAAGGTTTTTATGTGAGTACCAGGTAGGCACCAAGGCACTGAAGCCAGCCAGCCTTGCACCGACGGCCGATCCCTGCCAAGACGGGTCACACGCCCCAATTAGACTTTCGCCTGGTGCGGCACTAGCGTGCTTGATGTAGATTAACTCCATCTTTACAGTCTAGAGTTGTCTTGCAATGCTTGCCACTCAGTCAGTTGCACAGGGCTTGCAAGACGTGCATTAGTGGTAATCAACAGTCCAGAACGACAAGTCAAGGCCCTGCATTCTTTCGGCCCCAAAAACCTATTGATACCTGGTTAGCGTGAACAAACAATACCATCCTAAACACTGGAGCATCCACCCGTCAAGACAAACCCAGCTTGCCCAATGCAAGGGAAACAAGCGCCATTTCATGGACTAACGGTTCCCATAGCAGAGAGCGGGATCCCAAAGTCCTCGAGCCCATCAGCCCATCAGCCCATCGCGACAAGGTCCGCAAGGCCACTAGCGCGGATGTTAACCTGATTAGAGTATATTGTCCGGGCCCTCCGCGGGCCCCAAGGATCCGCGGGTCGTGGAAAAATCCCATCAAATTCATGGCCGCTAGCCAAGGGGTAGTCTAGGATTCTACGAGTGAAAATCAATTTTAAATTGTTTCTTGGCAGAGGACCCACTCCGCAGCATCCACCGAACACCGACCACGACTGGCCCGAAGGACGAAAGCCCTATCTATCTACCGCTGTACCTCCGTGCTCCGTGGACTACTTCGGACAGGCCTCGACACGGGAACGGAACGAGCACTCACACAGCCAACTGGCTAGACCTACTACGCACCAGTACACAGCAAGCGCCAAATCGTACAGTAATCTATTATCACCCACCCAAACGCCCCACCAGCCGTGTCTACGACAATGACCTCCGAAAATGGAAAAGCAATCAGACCGTCTCATTAACACTAACTTTCGTCACCACGTGGATCCCCTCGGGGAACATGAAGCGCTCCTGCGACTCGTTGCCCGTGTCCGCCTCGGCGCGACTGCTGCTGGTGCTGCTGTGGCCCGGCCCCGTCACGTTGTGGAGTTTGATGCTCATCGAGGGCCCGTGGCCCGGGAAGGTGCGGCGCGAGGCGGTGCCGTACATCTTGGACGGGCCGGCGGAGTCGCCCTCGCTGGAGAGGCCGAGCAGGCGCTGCAGCACAGGGAAGCGGTGGGTGATGATGGTCTTGAAGCTGGGGATGCAGGCGATGAAGAGGGCGACGGCGACTTCCACGCAGGACCAGAGTTCGGTGTTGACCATTGACCCTTTGTTTGTTAGCTGTTGCAATATGGATGAGAGTTCTTGGGGGGGGAGGGGGGGGTCACGTACAGGTGTGGTCGACGGCGAAGGAGTTCATGTACGAGACGCGGATGATGCTTGTGACGCAGACCCTACCGTACCCATCAACATTGGTCAGTTGCTTGCATGGATATCGCGGAGCAGAGCAAAAACGGGCAGGAGGGAAAGGAAGTGACCGTGGACATACAACAGCCCCAAACTAAACATCACCACCAGCCCCATGCGCTTCCCGCGCGTCATCTTCAGCTGCCACAGCTTCGGGATCGGCATGATGAAGATCGCCAGGTCCGTCGCCAGCTTGATCGCGAAGTTCGAGTAGTACAGCGCCGTCATGTTCACGCAGTAGCCCTCCACCAGCCCCGTCGCGTCCCACGCCTTGTGCACGGGGATGCACTGGAAGATCACCACGAACGTCTCGGC